TACCAATCTCACATATCTGTTTCAATTAAGTATTCGTTCAAGTTTTATATCTGCATTAACTGTTAACCACCAATTTGCAAGTTTAGATATTAGAATTGCATATTAATTTTAAATTTATTTCTTGTGTCCTTATGCTTATATTACGTAGTTATTCACTTCTAAATAACTTGTCACTTTATTTTTAACGATTGATCATTTCAATTAATCTTTCATCAATAATCGTTATATAAAGTTAATTTGTTTATTCAACGTGCTCTTTTATATTTTGTGTATATTCATAATTTTGTTGTCAAAAGCAACAATTTTAATCCTTGAATCCGTCTGTTTTGTGTACAGAATGGGAGACCGAATCAAACATCACTTTTCCAAAATTAACCCCGCTCACTACTGTCCCGGTCAGTTCATCTCATGGGGAGAAACCTAGCAAATTCAACGGTCATGAATTTAAACGTTGGCAACAAAAAATGTTGTTTTATTTAACAACGTTGAATTTGGCTAAGTATCTCTCCGAAAACCAGACTCTTTTAGAGGAAGGAGAAACTGATAAGGAAAAGTGAGTGGGGTTTGCCTCTTTCAGGGGTGTCAGTCTCCAAGTCTAGTCATAGTTATTGGTGTTTAGCTGGTGTCAGTTTTGTTTCTCCTTTGATTGATGTAATGATCCTGAAACTACTTATGATATGAAAAGAGGTCAGTTTCGTTCAAAAAAAATAGATTTGTGATTATTAGTTTGCTATTTAAAGGTGTACCTCTTCAATTTGAAAAAATATTTGGGTGTAAGGAAACACCATATGTTCTAGGTGATTGGAAGAATGAATCCTATTTAAGATGTTTTTACTTGGACTGTAATTTGCTGGTCTGGTCTAGTCTGGTCTGGTCTGGTTTCTTTGTATTTTTATAACTACCCAAGTCTGGTCTGGTCTGATCTGATCTGGTCTGGTCTGGTCTGGGACAAATTACAGTCCAAGTAAAAACATCCTTATAATGACTTTAGGTAGAGGAGTTGTTGGGATTGAACAATATGATGTATTTAGATTCAAATTTCAAATTAGAGAATATAATTATTTGGACAAAGTCCTTTTTTATTTCTCTTGTGAGCAATTTTTTGCTTAAAATTTTCAATAAGGTCAGTTCATCCTTCCTAATTCTATTTTACGATATTTAATTTCAGTTGTTTTACAGTTAATTGATTTAATAGTTTTAGTCTTGATTTTTTTGATGCATTTCTCGTTTCATAGCCTTTTCTCCATCAAGGTGTTCTCATATTCCCTTTTTCTGCTATGTTTTTGAACAACGTCACTGTATTATTTATAATTCATTTTCAATTCATGAAGATTTGTTTCCAATTTGTTACGATGAATGTGATTTGTGATGAATAATTTCATATTCTCTTGAAAGTAGAATTTGAAATCCATTTTAACTCATACAGTCTATATGTCCATCTAGATTTTCCATTCATGTTACACACTACTTTTGCATTTGTTTATTTAAAATCTGCATATTGTCTATTTATTGAGTTTTACTCATCTAGCCGTCTTTTTTAGTAGGTCTTCCTTTACCAATTTGTATCGGATGAAAATAACAAAAAAGAAAGCTACAACAAGTCTGGAATTTATAGCCACTAAAAAAGTCTAAAACTTCCAGAATGTATGGACTTTCTATACATTCTTTATTCACATTGAAATGGGTATTTGATGTCGGAATTATCGCAATGGGCTTGAATAATAAACACTAATTTGCATTACTCTGCATGTATTATTTTCATAGATAAACCAAATGAAGATTGACGAATGACGATGTGAGTTCTGTTATAAATAGAGAGATTTGAATCAAGGGAATACAAACCGGGAACAATGAACAATACCTATCCATCTTGCAATGGATAAGGATGGAGTGGTTTCTCACATCTATAGACAATTTGAGTGTGTATCTCCAGGAAAGTAGGAGATATAGTGTATGTAATATTGCACGCTTGCATCATGTTACAAGTTACAACCACCATTATGTCTAGATGGGTGAGTTGGTCAAGACTTTATGTAACAAGATATGCTTCTGAACCAGTTAAATGCCAAAATGTGACTAAGAATGTAGAATTTCTTTGCCTAATTTACTTGCTTAATTCAAATTTGTTGCTTCATTTCTACTCCGTATTTTTTCAAGTTTGGAACACATTTCTCATTTATTAGGTTTAAATTTACTGCATTATCTTGCCTCAATCACGTTTGAAGCCACATTGATATCTTTTCCCCAAAATTTAAGATAGGCAGCGAGTACTTTAGCCATTATGTTGGCTCCGGTGAGAAAACAAAAAACAAGACTAATTAGAATCTCGTGTTAATCTTTGCCTAAATAACATCTTGGAATTTATAAATATGATTTACTAAGGATTTTGACAATGAAGACAATGATTAGCTAATCTTAATGTCGATGAGAGCTTAATGTCATTCTTAATAGACACAATAAGCCTTCAAGTCGATTTGGTTCAAATAAATATCCCTAGCTAACTAACCAAAACTCTTTAATGTCATATTAAGAGTATAAATAGTATATCACTTGTTTGAAAGTAAGGAAAAATGTCTCTTTTTTGTCCATCACTTGTTCTTTAGTAATATTCATGTCAAAACCCCATTTTTTATTTGATAAGGTACATCCATTTATTATACTAATAATATTGTACTCCGTAACCCGTATGGCCGTTAGAGATGGCAACGGGGCGGATCGGGGATGGTTATGCATATAACCGTACCCGCCCCGTTTGGTATGTCCCCGTCCCATAACCGCCCCATTACCCAACGGGTAATTTTTATCCAAACCATAACCGCCCCAATGGGTAACAGGTAAAATTGCGGGTAACCACAGATAACCACTTTATTAAATGTGTCAATTGATATTTTAATATACAAATAAATATTTCAAAAGACAAAAAAATGATATCACCTAAATTATTCTAGAAGTGAGATATCACTTAAAAGTTTCGTGCATCTACAAAACACGAAAGAGGCAACCTAAACTAATACTACCTCCGTCTCAAAATGAAGTTCTCATTTTCATAAATGGAAAGTTATCCTACATCAAAACATTGTCAAACATTGTCAAACAGTGTCAAACAGTGCCAAACAATGCAAAACACTGCCAAACAGTGCCAAACAGTGTTCAAACAGTGCCAACTAGTGTCCAAACAGTGTCAAAACAGTAAATTTTACTCCCTGATAAGTTTATTTCCTAAATATGTGTGTAGGTCAAACTAAGAAGATCTTAGCGGGACGGAGGTAGTATGAACATAAAATACTTAAATTGAAAAAGAATTAATCAAGAAAAAATGATAAGAATCAAACGAAACTATTAAAATTTAGTATGAACTTTCGTTCGCATAATATACGTAGTAATTTGCATCCATATATATACACAATGAAAAGAGAAAATCTCATATTTTATCAATCGTAGGACAAATAATAGGAAAAAATGTAATCAAAATACAACTAAAAGTAAACGGGGTGAATACGGGGCGGGTAATGAGGCGAACATGTATAAAACCGTAACCGCCCTGTTGCCCATAAAAATAAAGCGGATATTCTCCGCCCATACCCGTTACCCGATGAATGCGGTTTTACCAATTTTGATGGGAACGTTCGCTGGGTATCCATGGGGGGTTGCTAGGCGCACCCCCATAATTGCTAAACGTAACCTCATTTAGACCATAATGCCCCTTAGTTTTTTAACAAAAGTTTCTATTTGAAGTTTTGAACCGTATAATTAGTCCTTAGGATTATAGACAAATCCCATTAACCATTTTTAATACTCCGTAATGATGACTAAATTATTAGATTGAAGTGCCAAAATCATTTTTTTTAAATGTGTCGAACAATTATTTGTTATAAAATGTTATACTACGCACTACATACTTTCATTTATTCACCAGTTTTGAAACAAATATATTGAATTAAATAGTTTTTATGATATTTCATATGGCACATATATTGTATTTATAGAATTTAGAAAAATCATTCTTCATTCCTTTTGTAATCATCTATATATATATATATATATATATTCTTTTTTTACCATGTCATTCTTTTTACTACCTCCACCCAGCTAGCATTGGGACATGAAAAAGTGACACGTTTAATAAGAAAAATAGATTTAACTATGTGTTTGATATTGAATTGATAAAGTAAGAATAAACAAAGAGTGATTTAGAACCACAATTTTTTTTATCAAATTTGATATGAGACAATCTAAAATTTTTAGCAAAAAATTCAATCGGGAACGTATTCAAATTAATTGTTGAAGATAACTGTGCACTTAAATGAGCAGTTATCGTAAAGAATTAATTTGAATGTGTTCTCAATTGAAGTTTTAGCTGAAATTTAGTATGAGTAAACTAGACTTGATGAATAAGATGCTAAAAAAATCATCAAAAAATTCCACTGGGAACCGCCCCAAATCGCGACGACCGGACAGAGCCTCCTAAATAAGGAATTAATTGATTTTTTTATAAAAGTTCGAGGACCTATTTGAGAATTTTCCCGTTTTTTAAGATAATCTTCATATTCATCACTCATGTAAAAAGAAAATTGTAAAAAAAATTATAAAAGCTTTATATGTGTTACAAATATTTACATAATAATTGTTCGATGATATTAAGATTTTGAGTACATTTTAAAGATAATCAGTTTTTAAAAATAAAGTTATAACAAAATTCAAGGAAATGCGAAGTATAAAAACTTTTTTTTTTAATTTAAAAAGCAATAATTTTCAAAAAAAGATTAAAAGAAATACGAGTTTGGCACTTTGGTCAGTTGGTGCGCTGCATACTTTGGTAAAGCCACGAAACTGAATTCAAAATTGAAAGTGGACAAAACGGTCCAACAAAGAGGAAAAGATGGTGCGCTTAGTAAGTTTTGGGGTGCGCGGAGAAATTACGGTATCCATGGGATCGGTCTCAATAAGGCCGTATGTAAGAAATGTTGCAATTGTGTACGTGTACAAGTTGTACGTGTCGTCGAGGACAATTCGTTCCCCTAGAAGAAAGCAAGAAAACCACCCCATACATGATGATTCCTCTTTCCAGCTAATCATTGAGACAGAAAATATCTGGTGACATGCCATCTGTACTTGCCCCGCGCTAATTCCAGCCTTCTGCATTTCAGTTACATCTCTTCTGGTTCTGAAGAGTGGACGGACGGACGGAGAACTCACGCTGCTTCATATCCTAGCGCGCGCAGAAAGGGAATGCGGTGAGAAAGATGATGCTCTTCAATGGCTTGATTCAGCGGAGGCTTTCTACTCTCTTGCGGCCATGGCTGGTGGACGAACCGGAGCTCGAAGTAAAGCTAGGGTTTCTTCGTTCCCACGCAATCGCCAAAAATCTCTGTTTCAACACTGCTGCTCTGAACCACTTGCTAGAAGATGCTTCTGGCGTGTGCTTCAAGGAAGTAGTCATTGATCAGTTTGGCTGTTATGTATCCAACTGGTCTGCCCCTGCCTTCAATTTCGAAATACACGGCCTTCACATTACTCTAGCACTGGGGTACTCTTTCTCTCTCTCGCTCAGTTACTCATTGCAGATTGTATGTGCATTTGGTGATTATGTTGTGTTTGCACATTGAAGTGAAAAGGAGGGAAGTTCGGGACGCGCTCCAAAACCAAAAGACACGTCTATTGATCAGAAAATGAAGCTCCTAGTGGAGCTCGATCCACAGGTACACTGCAGTCATCTATGCTTATCAATTCTGAATGGTTTTTAGAGGTATTTATGCGTTTGAATCAGCACTAATGACTAATTTATGTTTCTAAGTTCTTATTTTAATCAAACAACAACATCATCCAAGCCTTAGTCCCAGAAGTTCTTATTTTTATAATTCATTTTTTTACATGGTGAGGCCAACTATAATTTATGAGAGTTTTATAAATTTCAGGGTAGTTCTTTGCATGCTATGATGAAAAGGATCGCAGAAATTACAGCTCTTGGATGGACAACTTCTCTGTTTGATCACATATTACAGCATTGCCAGTTTCAATTCCATGACGTTCAACTGACTTTGCAGTCATCTCTTCCAAATGATTTTGTTTCCTTCTCTTTTCAAATGAAGAAACTTGGCGTGGGATGCCAATCTGTTCGGTTTTGTTTCATCAGTGGGGTCATCAGTTCAGTTTTTTTGCCCTCTAGAGAAAGCTACTTTGATATTGACGTTCAAAATTTCGAGACTATATTGAAGACCGAGTATCACATGAGCAATATTGTTCCGTCAACGAACCTACATGCCTCAGTTAAATCAAAAAGTCTTTATTGTCTAGACTTCTATGTTAATGTTGAAGCCCTGAAACTTTACCTATCTCCGTTTCATGTTTCCACAATACTTCTACTTTTCGTTTTGCTATCGAAAGAGGCCAAGTGTGTTAGAAGTGGTAGGCAACTGTGGAAAATAGCAGCAGAGAAAGTTAGATCCTTAACTTCAATGCACAAGTTTTTATTGCATAAGTTTGTCTACATAATATGTATCTGGGTTCAATATATGCACACCTATGAGAAAATGCTATTCTTGGTTGGGTACCCATCAGAAGATGCAATAAGAAGATCAGCTGGGTTTATGATTAGGGGTAAAGCATACTCCATAGCTGTTAAGCAGCACTGGAAGAAAATTTGCCAAATTGAGGAAGACCTGCCCAGTGCGGCCATTACACTGGCAAGACAAATAATACGCAACAGAGCTGCTTCAGGTGCCCAAAGGAGAAAACAATTATTCCATCAGTCAAAAGTGGGGTCATTTTCCTTAGTTTGCAAACCACTCCTCTTTGTTGGGAAGTACATTTGTAGCATTTTTCACATAATTAAAGGTCTTTTCTTTCAAAATACCGCTGGTAAATGTTCAAATTCCAATGAAAAACTTGGACATGTTCCAGATAGCTCTTTTCTATGTCACTACATTGGCCTAGATGTGGGAGATTTTTTAGTTTCCATGTCCCCAGAAGTTGAAGTTCACCCTTCTGTCAGTGGGAAGATGCTCTCTGATATTGGGCTCGCATACCATGAGTTACTTTCATTTTCTCTTTCTATTGATGTACTCTGCTTTAGATATTCTGAAAATATTACCCAACAATGTTTTTCTTTTGGCTGTCAATCCTTGAATGTGGTTCCTTTATCTCTCATGGAAAGCAGTTATAGAAATTCTGCCAAATACTTGAATGGATCTCAGAAAACGAAGGCTCATAACTTGTCCCCTGTTTTATGGAGCGAGCCTGCAGCAATTGTACACCCTGTGGAAATTGATGACTATCATGCTAATAAGACTGGTGTCCCTTGTCTTTCTTTTATAGACTTTATGATAGGAGAAATGCTCTTGAAGTGGAGAAAATGTTCAAAAGATGGAGCTAATGAAATCCAGGATTTTGAAAACCCATTCATTCTTTGTGAGACAAAAAGTTTTTTGATTGATCAAAGCCAGAAGAATATTATAGCTGGGTCTTTAAGTTGTGGTATGGTGGTTGGAAGGTTGAACTTAGTTATCGAACATGCATCAGTTGTATCTATTACTGTAATTTCTACACAGATTAAGAGTGCCCTTTCATGGACTCAGTGTAACATGAAAAAAGATGCGGTGTTGCATGCTTCAGCATCCCTAAGTGACCAACCCTCTATAGACTGGAGTAGCAAATACAACTCACTTTCAAATGGAATGGCAATAGCAGCTAATAAGTTGCTTCCGCAAAAGCATATTCGAATGGGAATAAGAGTTGCTGGTCCTCACATTCAGATTTCATTAAAAAAGGTGGAGCTTCATGGCAAGATAACAGATCAACATCATTCAACGAGGAACAATATGACCCACCTTCGAATCGAAGCTGACAATGTGGAACTTGCGGTTTTACCGAATCTGGAATCTGATTTCAATTTCTCAAGTGAATCCATGAAAATTGCTGATGCAAAAGCAAAGATCACTACCCTTCATCAGGGTGACATTCCCAAGTTAAATGGTGAAACATTGAGCTCCCAAGGATGTATCTCAATCGACGCACACCTAAAATTTGATGGGGTGAAAGTTTATCTTGATGTAACAGATAACCCACATCGCCCTGTTATTCTGCTAACTCCTGTTACATTCACGTTATTATCTTCAAGGTACTAATTCCGCTAATTGTGACCACTGGATTTTATTAGCGTGTCTTCTGTTATGAATATTTCACACCTCAAGATGCAAAAAATCAGTTAATCTTCAATATCCTAATTTAAATAAGATTAGATTGATTGACAAGCATAATGTATCTCCTCAGTAACAGGCTTACTTTTACAGATGCTCTTATCGTTATATTTTTGCCCTCTAGCAGTGTGTATTTGAATAATTTTGAATATTTAGGAAGTGAAATAGATCCCATGTTCAGTCCAGATAATCATGATATCAATTAAAGACCTAATCATAATTCATCCATCCTGTTTTATGTGTTTGGCTCGAGTTATTTGCAATTCAAATTTTATTATATTCAATTAAATTAGTGTTAGTAAATAGAGGTTAGATATGTAGGAACTACATGTAGATAAATGTAGGAAACTATACGAAAATAGTGATGAAAATAAGTAAATATTGAAGCGTTAGTTTGACTGATGAGCAGTAACAAGGAAAAGTGAAATAAGACTACTAAAATGTTACTAAGAGGAGAACTTGCAAGTGCCACGGGGTTGCAGACTTGTAGTTCTCCATTGATGCTCAAATAGTCAGTGCATAGACATGATTTGTTAAAGCACGAATGTGATGAAATGGTTTTTCCTTTACCGGCGCTTAGTATAATGTCCATACAGTTTGGGTCTATTTCTAAATTCTAATGTAATTGCGGATTTTATTGTTGTAGTTTTGCTCATTGCAATCCTTGCATTATGGAGTAATTCTCTTATCTTAATGACTTATCCTCGTTCATACATTATGGGGTTTATTGGAATTATGATAATAAACTCAGTCTCTCGTTTCATTGCATAGTAATTTAGTAATAGAATGGGAGATGTTGACCATTACATAAGCGGAACAGAGAAGTGATGTTAGTTGGTGTGCTAAACAGATTTTGGAAACAATTTGTTATACAACTTGTTTGCCTTTATTATAACTATTACTTTACATTGTGTTCAGCAGGAAGGATGTGCACTCATTGGGTTCAACAGTGGCTGTTTGGTTTATTTCCTTAATTTGGACAGCTGGTGGGCTGGCTGTGGTATTATTTTTGGATGAAATGGATGTTTTGGTAAAGGTGATTATTGACACTTAAATATGCTGAGCTTTAATTACTTTGTGGTTCCTCTATCTGTATGACCATATAATATTGTCGTGTTTATTTCTATTTTTTGTTTTGTTTTATTCCTTGATTCCTCAATTCTTAATTTCTTATTAAAAAGCCAGCTTTTGTAGCCAGTTGTAACCAAAGGTTTAACTATGTCCAATTTTAATCTACTTTTGTTTTTTGTTGTTGATATTATAGTCAATTTCCAATTGTGTCAAAACTGAGCAACTGCAATTTCATAATAATCTAGTTCTCCTCTCTTGTATATCTAGAATCTCCCCCTACACCACTTTTTCCCAGAAAATTGTTAAGTTCTATTTAGATATTAAAAATAGAAAATATATTTACCAAACATTTAAATTCTTGATATTCATCAAATAAAGATGAAAAATAGCCTTGAAGTCTATCCTCTGAATGACTTATCTTTTATACAATAAGTTTCCAGTGGTTTTAAATTTTGTGTTTGTGTGTGTACTCAACGTTCCCCCACATACCCTACCGCAGGTGGGAGCCTTTGCGGCACTCAACGTTCCTATGGCTCATGTACTCATGTCTTTACATGTTTAATGAGTGTCAAGATTCTGAATATTTGGTAATAGCCTAGCGGTAGTTTTCCTTTTTTTGGCGACGAATGGTTTCTTTTAGAAGTTCAATGGTATAAAGTAGGAAGGTTAGGAAGTTGAATCTGGTCAATTTGACTACAAATAGAAACATGCTAAATTGGCACGAATGCACATTGCACAGAGCATGCTTGTAAGTTGGTCGTATAGAGTGATTTATTTGTTTGAAGCTAAATTGGCACAAAAAACCCTGAAGCTTGCATCAGTTGCAAAACTTTAATGGTTTGGCTATAAACGCAATTGGTCACAAATGTCAGGTTACCATGTTTTGTTACCAAGTGCATATTCTAAAGTTATACCAACTTTACTTGTCACCCACAGTACTCCTAGAGTCCTAGAATATGTCATAAACTTCATTTTTACAACATCAACTGTGTACTGGTCTATAACTTTTAAACCATAAATAATTGTGTCAGGTTTCTCCAATTTGTAACTGTGAAATATATGACTCTCATTCTTATTCATGCAATTGATTTCTTGAATTTTTGGTAATCCTCAAATTCGTCGCATGGAAGCACAACCAGAGATGATGAAATCCTGACTGATTTAGTAATGAAAGTTGGCATGGTAGTCAAAGACTGATAGGGACTTTACTAATTCGAATAGAGGGGATAAATACTTTGGTAAAGTGTACTATAGGAGAAAGTAAGGTCGGTTATTAGTTAAGTTTGTTAGTAGCTAATAACTACCTGTTGTTATCCTTTCTTACTATAAATAACATACGGCTGGGTGTTGTAGATAGGCTGTTTTGACTCGTAATCTGGAGTGGGAAGATCAGAGTTGTATCTCTATCTTGTTGCCTAAGTAATAAAAGTTGCCTTGAGTTCTTGAATCAATTCTGTGATCTGTTAGACTAGAATTGCAGGTTTTAACATTGGTATCAGAGCGTAACGATCTTTGTAGATGGTCTTTACGAGAATAAAGATGGAAGCAAAGATGAACGAATTGGACGAGAAGCTGGAAAGATCGCAACAACAAAATACAGCGATGTTTACGGCGCTACAGGCGGCGATTGCCAGATTAGAAACGCGAGGTGAAAATCGATCGCGAAGCCGATCTAATGCCTCACACGCTTCTCATCATTCATCGCATCATTCATCGCATCACTCAACGCATCATCACTCAGTGCGATCATCGGATAGTTCCGATGGATCGGAAGGGCACTTAGAATTGTCTCCACCACGACGACATCGTCCACACCATCAGACTCACAGGAAGGTTGACTTACCTTTATTCAATGGTGAGGACGCCTATGGATGGCTTGTCAGAATCGAGAGGTATTTCAGACTGAATAATGTTGAAGAAGAAGATAAAAGTGAAGTTGCAGTCGTTGCAATGGAGAGGGTAAAGCCCTCAGATGGATCCAATGGTGGGAGAAACAAACAAGGGGAAGGAATTGGGAAAAGTTGAAGAGAGCACTGATTCGTAGATTTCAGACAGAGCTGATTCAAAATCCTTTGGGCCCTCTGTTGAGTCCGAAACAAAAAAATTCTGTACAGGAGTACAGAGAACAGTTTGAAACTGCTATTGCCTCTCAAGAAGGTCTGGACAGAAAAGTGATGAGAGGTATATTCTTGAATGGGTTAAAGAAGGAGATTAGGGCTGAACTGAAGCTGTATAAGACCAAGAATCTGGAGAAAATAATGGATAAGGCACAGCTGATTGAGGACAAAAATGAAGAAATACTGTTCAGAAAGCAGAAGGAAGAAGTAAAAAGATCATGGAAGAGCATTGGTAACAATGGAATTAATTTTCAGAAACCTGGGGATGGAATCAAGAGTAGTAGTAATCCTGTATCTACTCATACTTATGGAAGGAATGCAGATGATAGCAAAACGGGGGACAGTGGTGAAGGCTCTAGTTCCAGAAAATTTGGCCCCAGATTATCACGAAATGAACTTATGGATAGGAGCAAGAAGAGGTTATGCTTCAAGTGTGGAGAGAACTGGAACAGGGGACACGTTTGCAGGATGAAAAACTTTCAAATGGTTTTGATGGAACTGTCTGAGGAAGAGCCAGAAACTGAAGCTAATTACAGTAGTGCTGAAGGAGAAGATAAGACTCAACCTGAACTGAAATCTATGCAACTATCCTTGCTCAGCAAGGAGGGTATCCCTTCTATGAGAACCTTCAAGGTTCTGGGAAAATTGAAGTGGGCTATGGAGGAAAGGGAGGTCAATACACTGATTGACAGTAGGGCCACCCACAACTTTATATCCCAGAGATTGGTGAACAAGTGGGACATCCCTTTCAAACCTACAGAGGGGTATAAGGCAGATGTATGGGAATCAAACTGATGGTGCAAGGAAATAAAATCAATGAAACTTTCTACATCTTGGAACTAGGAGAAACTGATGTAGTTCTGGGATTAGATTGGCTCACTAAATTGGGAAATATGGAGGTAAATTTCCATGAACAGATCCTAAGGTGGAAGAATAAAGGACAGGAATGCAGTATTAAGGGAGACATAAACCGTAATAAAATGGAAGTGCCTTTAAAAACCATGACACAGATCATTCAGCAAATAGGGGATGGCTATTTTCTCTATTGTGAGGTAAAACAACAAAGGCAACTAGGGCAGGAACGGCAACAAACTGGGAACAAAGATTGGGAGGAGACATTGAAGGAATTTCCAGAAGTATTCAAAGCTGAGTTGGATTTTCCACCGGAGAGAGCCTGTGACCAGTACATCAATATCAAATAGGGCTCTAGCATCCCAAATATGGGGGTTGACGTTTCTGCGGGGATTAAAGAGCATTAAATAAGATAACAGTGCCTGATAAGTTCCCAATTCCCGTAATTGAAGAGTTACTTGATGAGTTAGATGGGGCTAAAGTATTTTCCAAGTTAGATTTGAAATCTGGTTATCACCAGATCCGCATGAAAGCTGGGGACACACATAAAACTGCATTTAGGACACATGAAGGGCATTACGAATATTTGGTAATGCCATTTGGGTTGACCAATGCACCATCTACCTTTCAAGCTCTAATGAATGAGGTCCTAAGGCCTTTCCTAAGGAAGTTTGCATTAGTATTTTTTGATGACATACTAGTGTACAGCAAAACTTTAGAGGAACACAAGGAACACTTGAAGCAGATCCTGAAGGAGAATAAGCTGGTGGCTAATAGGAAGAAGTGTTCTTTTGGTCAGCAACAGTTGTCTTACCTGGGGCATATCATTTCTGAAAATGGGGTATCCGCAGATCCAAGCAAAATAGAAGCCATGAAAGATTGGAAGGAACCACAAGATCTAAAGGGTTTGAGAGGTTTCCTGGGGTTGACTGGCTACTATAGGAGATTTGTCAAAGGGTACAACAAAATTGCTGCTCCATTAACTCAGTTATTGAAGAAGGATGGATTCAGATGGGATGATGAGGCTAGAAGAGCATTTGAAGAGATGAAATTGACCATGACCACTCTACCAGTACTAAGAACCCCTGATTTCAGTAAGACATTTACTGTGGAAACTGATGCTTCTGGTAAGGGTGTGGGGGCTGTATTGATGCAGGAGGGCAGGCCCATAGCCTTTATGAGTAAAGAACTAGCTGCCAAACACCAAATGAAGTCTGTTTATGAGAAAGAACTTAAGGCAATAGTTTTTGCTATCCAAAAATGGAGACCCTACCTTTTGGGTAGACAGTTTGAGGTGATAACAGACCAAAGAAGCCTAAAATACCTTACTGAGCAAAGGATTATGGGAGAGGATCAACAGAAATGGATCACTAAGCTGATGGGTTATAATTTTGTGATCAAATACAGACCAGGAATGGAGAATGGTGCAGCTGATGCTCTTTCTAGGAAGATGACTATGTTTTCCTTGTCCACAGTGACTTGTCAAGAGTGGAAAGGGGTGGAGCAAGAATTGGAGAAGGATTCATGGTGTGGAGGTATCATTCAGAAGGTTTTAACTCAACCAGACAAGGTGAGGAATTTTATGATCAAAGGTGGATTGCTATATTTCAAAGGAAGGTTGGTAATACCAAAAGGGTTTGCCAGAATTGCAAAGATATTAAAAGAGTATCATGAATCACCATTGGGAGGACATTCAGCGCAATTCAGGACAATGAAAAGAATATTCGGTCTATTCTACTGGGTGGGGATGAGATCTGAGGTTCAAAGATTTGTTCAAGGGTGTGACACATGTCAGAGGAACAAATACCAGGCTTTAAAACCTGCAGGTTTACTGCAGCCTTTACCTATACCTACTCATACTTGGACTGATATCAGTATGGATTTTGTGGGGGGTTTACCTAAATCTTTTGAAAAAGATACCATCTTGGTAGTGGTTGACAAGTTATCAAAATTTGCTCATTTTCTACCTCTATTCCATCCCTACAATGCTAAGGAAGTTGCTGAGTTGTTTATGAGAGAAGTAGTGAAAATACATGGATTCCCCAGATCCATAGTAAGTGATAGAGACAACCTCTTCTTGAGCACATTCTGGTCAGAATTATTCAAGGCAGCAGGTACTACACTGAAGTATAGTGCTGCATATCATCCTCATAGTGATGGACAAACGGAAGTAGTCAACCGTTGTTTAGAGACTTACTTGAGATGCATGACTGGCAGGAAACCCAAGCAGTGAGTTAAATGGTTGAGTTAAATGGCTGTCATGGGCAGAACTATGGTACAACACCAATTATCATATATCCTTACAAGACACTCCTTATAAGGCACTATTTGGTCAAGACCCACCTGTAATTATCAGAGGAGATGTCAGCCTATCAGCCGTGGAGGAAGTATCAAGATTGACAGCAGAAAGAAATGAATTGCTGAAAGAATTGAAAGAACATTTGACTCAGGCTCAGAATTTAATGAAGCAACAAGCTGACAGACATAGAAGAGAGTTGAAGTTGCAGGTTGGTGACAGGGTGTATTTAAAGATACAGCCTTACAAGATGCGGAGTCTAGCTAGGAGAATTAATCAGAAATTGAGTCCCAGGTTCTATGGACCCTATGAGATCCTAGAAGAAATAAATCCTGTGGCTTTCAAACTGCAGCTACCTATGGGGTGCAGGATCCATCCAGTCTTTCATATATCCCTTTTGAAGAAGGAGTTGAAACCTGCAAGCTTCTGTCAAGATCTTCCTAAATGTTTAACTGAGGATTGTGAATTATTGGTGTGGCCTGAGGAAGTGAAGGGTGTCAGAAGAAATTCAGCTGGAGAGAAGGAAGTTTTGATACATTGGAGAGATCTTCCGGAGTTTGAAGATTCTTGGGAGACAGAACATAACATCAAACAGCAATTTCCAACTTTCCAACTTGAGGGCAAGTTGGATTTTCAGGTGGGAAGAATTGATAGGGACTTTACTAATTCGAATAGAGGGGATAAATACTTTGGTAAAGTGTACTATACGAGAAAGTAAGGTCGGTTATTAGTTAAGTTTGTTAGTAGCTAATAACTACCTGTTGTTATCCTTTCTTACTATAAATAGCATACGGCTGGGTGTTGTAGATAGGCTGTTTTGACTTGTAATCTGGAGTGGGAAGATCAGAGTTGTATCTCTATCTTGTTGCCTAAGTAATAAAAGTTGCCTTGAGTACTTGAATCAATTCTGTGATCTGTTAGACTAGAATTGCAGGTTCTAACAAAGACAGAATATCGGACTTGGAATTTTTGGCAGACTGGCCCGGTGGGGGAGGTACGGCAGCGGCGTGTGGGTTTTCCGGGGCGGCGGACAGAGTCCAGATATTTTTGGGAGGATCGCCGGGGGATGGCTGTTTTTTTGTATAGGCGGTGACAAAAGTGGAGCAGCGGAGAACAGTAGATCTGGAAATGAGCAGTGTAGGTTTTTTTTTTCACTTCTGGATGCGCGTAGGAGGGTCTCTGACGGCGAAATTTCTGGTGGTGTGTTGCGCTAATGTTCCAAGGCGTGCGGTAGGATTGTTTTTGAAAACACACTACTGGAATCTCTCGAAAGATAAGCAGTCATTAGAAAATGTTACTCCTACCATAAAACTTCATGCCAAAAAACTAAACAATAAACTGAAAACTAGGTAATTCATGGTTTTGATACCATGTCAAATATATGATTCTCATTCTTATTCATGTTATAAAAGATTACAACAATAGCTATAGTTATAGCTTTAACTAGGTTACAACTAGGGTAACTATATAAAGTGGGCTGATCCCAATAAACTAGGATTTAGGGTTTCGACACTCGACCGTAACATTTGGATTGGCTAACATCAGTGAGGCATTGTTCAGTCTCTTCTTAAAATAGTATGATTTACCCACCCTTTTTTGCGTATTGGGTGATTACCTTCAAAAGTACTTTTATCAGCCAGATTACCACAAATGTAGATCGACCCTAATTGAAATGATCTACTGTAACTCTGTAAGTCATGGTATAGTCAAACACTTGTACAGAAAGGGTTCCCTCTCTTTCATGTAAAACTGTCATGGCTCAAGATTGTTGTGCTAAATATCAACCATATTATCTCATTGTGGCAGGCAGCCCATGGTTTGTCTCGTACAATGTTACATGTATCCGATTTGCCGGGTTTAGCTACCTGCCTTAATCATCAAAAGAATTCACACCAAGAAGTGTCTTCAAATCTTGGAAACCATGGAGTAGTGATGACTAGAGGTGGAATGTTTTTTAGTAGTCTTGTCATTCTTGAGAATATCTGTGAGTTGAAATCAGTTGAAATCATCCTTCACCATTCCATGAAGCGGTGTAGTGCAGGTTCAGATAGGATGAATGCTCACAAAGATACCAACCAGAAGCTTGATAGTGAAGCCTTGTTAGACTATGGAATCCACATATCTGTTCATCAGATTGATATGTTGTTTTCATTTGAAACAGAAAAGGTGGATATTTGCATCAAACTATCTGGGTTTCAATCTGATATTCTGGAACAAATAAATGAGATTGCTGATGTTTCTGATCGATTAGAACTTACAAATGTTATCCAATCATTCCATCAGTTATATGGAGCATCATGTTCAAATTGTAAATTTGAAATATGCTGGAAAGCCATACCACTCCCCAGTTTGAAAAATTCAACTGATGTTTCTACATCTGGCAGTGCAACTTTGCATATTTCTGAAGACCCCCCCTCGGCGGCGAAAGCTGATGAGCATTCTTTTGATTGTTTACACATGAACATTGTTCTTGCTGAAGTTTATTTAGCTGGATGCCCTGTAAAAAAATTGTTAGTTCAACCCCACAAATCAAATAAACTTGAAGGATCTCTTTCTGTGGGTGGAGAATTTCATAATATCTCTTGCCAGACTCAGGTCTCTGTTCTGTTCTTATCACTCTATGGTTATATGCAGTTTCTTCGGTCTTCTTCTGCTGCTCCTAATTTTATCCAATGGATTATGTTAACGTTGTGTAGGGAGGTTATGTTGTGATTGAATCAGCAGCACTTATAATGTTTGTTCAATGCTTTGCACTATACTGTTGCCGGTTCAGTGAGCTTTGGCCTGCTGCAACATCATCCAGAGAAAAAGATGCTGGAAATGCGGAAGCTATGAGAAATTTACCAAACCAAGAATTGCAGAACCAGCAATTAATTAATTGGAACCAATTGAAGGCGCTGAGTATAAACATTTCGCAACTTTCTCTGGCATTCCTGGGCAGAGATGAATCCGGTACCATCTTTACCCCTTTTACTTTATTGGTGTAGCCAAATGTTTGAGAAGTTTTGATCTCCTTTGCAGGTAGACTTCAGGAACTCCTGCTTGTGGCTACCAGTCATTTTAACCTCGAAGAACCTATGAAGTTTTCATTTAGTATTTCAAAATTTTCAATTCTTTCATGCTCTGTTGACATAGGCACGGAACAGAAAATCAGAGACACCAACATTCTCTCCTCTTCTTCTCCTTTGATGTCAAACAAGAGACACAGTGGTCCTTCAGTTTCCTCTTTAAAGTCTCAGACTAAGATTCACTCTGATGATGCAAGTAGCTCAGGCTCTCATGTTCTTCAAAAGGAAATTATTGCTGATGATTCAGGAAAATCTTGTGTGAATGATGTTGTATCACAAAACTTGCTTGCGTCTCCTCAAAACTATATTATGCGAGACTTCTCAGCCTCTATAGTGGTTCAGCGGCGTGTGATGAGAAATTGGATAGATTCTCAGCAGTTGAAATATTTTTGGGTTGGCCATGGTTCTCTTTCAGGTTTTGACATGACCATCTCTCTGCCTGAAATACAGGTGAACAGTATCATCAAGTGCTGTTTTCATTCTATTTTGATATTTTACTATTATTTTATGGGAAATGTAGACATTTCAGGATGAAGTAGCTGCCATTAGAAACCAACTTGAAAGCTAAGAACAGAGAGAACTCATTCTACCATTAAATTGTAATACAAGTATACAACAAGTAGATATAGGGTAGAAAGGGTGACATTGCGCAAAGTGCAGATAATAATATTAGCATATAAGGCGGCTCAAAGTTGGCTATATGGTATTAGAGTGCTTGAGCTCAAATAATAGCTGTCATCTACTGATTACTTCAACAATTTATAATGGGTGAGTTTGAGCCTTTGAGGACATACCTTTAAAAGTCTACTTGTTGGTTTCACCTTTTTCAGGAAAATTGAAAACAAAACACCTCAATAACACTACATAATTAAAACTTGCAACATTGTAACCTCTTTTTAATATATTTTGATATTCTTCTAATAAGCAGGAGTAATATTCAGATATACTGGATCTAAGTATGATGGATATCTTGATAATATGTCTTTCGTGGTTTTGAGTATTATTCTATATAGTTTGTTATTTTATCGTAACACGCATTTAGAGTTGAACAGAGAGAACTCATTCTGCCTTTAAATTATAATACATGTATACAACAAGTAGATATATGGGTAGAAAGGGTGACATTGTGCAAAGTGCAGACAATAATATTTGCATATAAGGTGGCTCAAAGTTGTCTATAGGGTATTAGAGTGCTTGAGCTCAAATAATAGCTGTCATCTACTGACTACTTCAACAATTTATAATGGGTGAGTTTAAGGACATACCTTTAAAAGTTTACTTGTCAGTTTCACCTTTTCAGGAAAAATTAAAACAAACCACATTAATAACGGACTACATAATTAAAACTTCCAACAGTTTAACCTCTTTTTAATACAATTTGATATTCTTCCAATAAGCAGGAGTGATATTCAGATATACTGGATCTATGCATGATGGATATCTTGATAATATGTCTCTTGATGTGATTTTGAGTATTATTCTATAGTTTGTTATTTTCTCGCAACTCGTGTTTCAAGTTTATTTTGTAGCTTCTCTTCTACTGGGGCTTAATCTTGTTCCACTTATTTGATCTCACCTATCTTTATTTGCTGGGATTATTAGATGATACTGCTTGCTGGTGAGTCATTTTCTGGGCTTTATAGCAATGATATTAGTAGAGATGTGCAACAAAGGAACTTGACCAGTAGTCAGGAGTTTGCTGGAAAGATGGATCACATGGTTCCTGATGGTAATTCTCTTTCTTTGGTGATGGTCACCACCTTCATCAGCACCTTAATTCCAACTATGTTTGGATTGGTGGCATGATATTTGCGTAAAATTATTTAACACCAAATTGACGATTTTGAAGGATACTGGATTTAAGAGTTGAAATATGAACAGGAACTATTGTTGCCATTGAAGATGTCTATCAACATATGTTTATTGCAGTTGATAGTGCTGAAAATAGTTATAGTGTAGTTGGTGATATACACTATTCACTTGCAGGCGAGAGGGCTCTCTTCAGGGTAAGAAAAATTCTTTATTGCAGATCTTTTTCAATATAATGCCTTGGTAAATGTTTAAATGCTAAATGCGTTGTTACTGTGACTATTTCACGGCTAGTTCATTTATGAAAAAATGATGGATGTGATCACCTTCGGTAATTGTCATCAACAAATGGTTCCTACTAATGAGACAGCCACAATGAGAAAATGATTTATGTTGAGAAATAAATTATTGAATTCTATTTGCTGCTGTATTCAACAATTTAGTATGGTTTTGTATTTCGTATATCTGCCTCTTTGTTTTTGTCCACAGATTAAATATTAAACTATACGGTTTTAAGATAATAACATTTACCGGTGCATTAGGCAGAAAATGCATGTGATTTCTGTTTAACATTCAGTGGGACCCTTCTACTTCAGTCCATTGCTTCATTTGCAAACTTGTTCACCAAAAGGAAGGCATTAAGTGCGTCTAAGGTGTCTTTATTCTATTTGCTATGCTCAGATCAAGTATCATGATTCCAGGAGGTGGAGGCCACAAATTCCTTATTTCTCATTGATTTCGCTGTATGCTACGGATGAATCTGGGGAACCGCTGCGCTTAAGCTGCCACTTGAGATCTGATTATGTTGACATTTCCAGCTCCAATCGTGGTGCATGCACACTTTGGTATGCCATTCCTTGTGAATCGAAAGCTTTCGAGGGAGCTGCTGATTGTGAAATGTTCCCCTCAACTAAACATATGTTTCAACTTGTGAACAAGAAAAATGGCCGGGCTGCTGCTTTTGTTGATGGAGTCCTTGAACTGGTCAGCAAGCCTGGAAATCCATTCAAGTGGAAAGTACTTCCGAATCATCTTCCACCTGTTAATAATAATTTGCCTAGTAGCCAATTAGGGGAGGTATCTCAGACTGGTAGTCAGTGTGATTTACATTTAGAAGATATAGCAAATCCTGGAAAAAATGAAAATAGTTATGGTATAACCATTACAGTGGACAATATTTCATGGACCATTGTGCATGAACTTTCACATACCAAGGAAAAGTTTCCACTCCTTCACGGATCTGTTAGTTCGACTGAAACCGTTGTTCAGATTTCAAACATTAAAGTTCGGGTTATAAGCAGGTTGCAAGCTATACTACATTTTTTTGATGCCAAGAAAAACATATGGTAAGCAATATTTTAGTTAACATTATTTATCCAAGAAATATCAGGAGAACCCATATCACTTTCCCCAATGCTTCAATACATTTAAATTTTTGCAGGAGAGAACTTATGCATCCACTTGAAGTTGTCCTTTTCTATCGTTATAGACTCCACTCCGAGGACTTAGGAAATGTTCCACATCAGATGCCTGGTCATTTCTATATAAGAACTGGATTGGTCTGTTATCTTGTGTCCTACTTCTCTTTATTTGCTGCGGCTCGTTGTCTGATATTTCTAATTTTCTGTTGCATGGCATTTGCAGTTAAATTTTACAATGAGTGAACTTTCACTCGATATCATACTCTTTATCATTGGACATTTGAATTTGGCTGGACCTTACACAGTGAGAAGCTCCAATATTTTGGCGAACTGCTGCAAGGTTTTCCATACCATATCTGAACCTTTTTATCTGAAGTACATAGTATACGCTTAATAATATGCTTAATAATATGCTGTTTGTGGAGGACCAAATGCATCATAATGCCTAGTATTATTGATTAGAAATTTAATAGTCTCCATCCTACAGATCGAAAACAAGTCATGCTTGACGCTCGTCTGTAACTTTTATGATAATCAAGATGTTTCAGTTGCTGGAAGACAGTCTAATATCATGTTTTTAAGGTACAGTAGTATATTTATGTATTTCAGATTGAAATGTTCGGTGCTATTTTGGAAATTCCCGAAATAGGACTAAAACAGTTTGGAAATTCCAAAATAGGACTGTCATGTTTTTTATTCCCAAAATAGGAGTAATTACTGCCAAATTTGGAAAATATTGCCATGTTTGAAGTCTGGTACAGCCAAAATATGACAGTAATTAGTCCTATTTTAGGAATAAAAACATGGAAGTCCTATTTTGGAATTTTCAAACCTTTTTAGTCCTATTTTGGGTAATATCTATTTTGGGTAATTAGTCAGATTGAAATGTTCGGTGCTATTTCTCTTGAAGGCTTGAACCAATCTTGTAATCTGCTATGTTACAACTGCTGGGGTTTTCTTGGTTGGGCTAGCTTGCAGCTTGCTAAAAATCACTACATGTGAATTATTGCATCCATCTTTCTCTAGCAACCCTATTAAAATTGAAATTATTTTTAAAAGAAAATTGGTAAAAAGTTTTCTCCCCCTTTTCTGATGAAGCAATATAAATCAAAACCCACCTGCAATGTAATAAATCAACCTCTATTGTCATCACAGCTATCTTTTTAGTTACTACTTTTTCTTAAGGATGTGCATCTCAGGCATTTGGCTTCAACAAATCAAACCCCAGACGCATCTATTTTTTCAATCCAACTTACAGAGACGAGGATCCTTTCTACTTCTTTGATTCGTCTCTCTCTCTTGGAAGCCCAAACATTCTCTTGCAGAACACGTATAGAATCATCAAAAGGCGAGTTTGTCTTTTTTCAGCAACATGAATCAAAACTGTTTATATCTGAATTAATAGAAATGTTAATCATTTTCTTACAGGTTGTTTCTTTTCTTTTAGTTGATTATTATTTATTATTATCATTATTATCTTCTTTCGGCAAGATCTCAAATCTGTATTATCTATTGATACAACTAGGATATTAAGTGTAGCAGACTAGCTGGGTTGTTTCTTTATCTTTGATCCCTTGTTTGGTTCAAGGAGGGGAAAGGAGAGACGGGGAAAATGTAAAAGGAGGTGAGGTTGAAAAACTTGTTTGGTTCAGTGAAAACAAGAAGAGTGGCAAGAGTTAGTGTTTCATAAAAATATGATAGTATGAATTTTTTATTACAATTTACTGTAACTAATGATTAAATCCAGGCTTCAGTATGTTTTTAGTCCTTGTAAATACAACACACTTTGGTTTAGATCCCTGCAAAATACTATTTTCATTTTAATCCGTCTTTAACTCTGAGACAGTCTCCATTTAGAAAAAAATAATGTTACTGGAAACTTTTAAATTCACCGTTTTCCAACTTCTTGGAGAACAATATTGGAGTTAAAACAATGTAAAACTAATAATTCATGTTTTTTAATTAGGTTTTAACGACCCTCGAGAAAATAAATTTACGAGTTTTTGGAATGTCATGATGAAGAATGATAGGATATCTAATACTACCTCCGTCCCTCTAATATTGGGAGGGAAGAGAGTGGTGTGGTTTTTAAGAAAAGTAGAATTATGTGGTTGATAATGAGTTGATAAAGTGAGAATAAAGTAAGAATGAATTAGAGCCACACAAATGTTACCAAATATGGTATGGGACAATAATAGGGGCACATCAAATAATGAAAAAACGGGACAATTATAGGGGGACGGAGGGGGACAATTAACAGTAAAGGTTGTTTTGTTGTCAACCGGAAGTTGTTATGATCGGTGAGAGACTAAAAAGAAAAGGAACATAAGTTACAGGTTTAAAAGAAAAAAACAATTTTACAGGGACGTAAAACAAGAAGCAATGTAATTGCAGGGACTAAAAACATATTGAAGCCTTATTGTTAGAGACCTCCAGAAAATCCAGAACAATTACAGAAAGATTAAGAAGAAACAGATGAATACTTTTATTGAATCAAGAAGAACAGTACAGTAACCAGGCCGAAGCCCCCAAAGATAAGAGAAACCGACTTTCTCAGATCTTCCCAGTTCCCAGAGACTAAACAGTCCAAAAGCCACCTTTCTAACTCCCTTACACGTCTATTTATACTAGGGTACTCAGACCCTTATTACAATTATACCCTTATTATTATTCTTATTTCTATTAATAGTCTGATAGGTAGGTCCCTATCAATACTCCCTCCCTAAACATCCACCTTGCCCTCATGGTGGACGGAAGGAGACAGCCAAGATCTTTTGTTCCTTCTTCCTCTTTGCGCCTCTTCCTTCCCAATATCTCTCTGATTTTTGAACCAGGAGTCTCTGTACTTCATCCCCCCACCTCACCAATGTTTCTGCAGCCAAGGATAAGTTTAGTGAAATCTCCGTCCCTTCAGTGGCTTTAAAGCACTCAATAACGACAAATGTCTCTTTGTGCTGTGCTTCTCCATGTGCAGCAGTTATATACTTATATGTCTTGATAGGGCTGCAACCCGTCCTTCCAGCAGATTCCACCTGAGTGATTCATCATTATAGATGCTAAGTTTTCTCAATAGTCTCCTAGATATGCACCCTCCCATCACACATGGATATGCACTCTCCACCACTTTGAATCCAGGATCCCATACATTGGCAGTTTCTTCAAGTAATCTCCTTGAAATTGTAGCCTCTGAATCTCCCGCTGCATGAGAGCTTTCAACTCATCATTTCTTGACCATTTCAACTTCTGAGACAAGCTACCTTCCTTCCTAGCTATCAACAACTCCTTCCCTGATCTTGCAATTTCTTCCAACTGCTCTAGACTGGTCAACTGTCCTTCCTGATACAACAGGTACCCTTCACCTTTTTGTTGTAACATGTGAGTAAGAGTTTTGAGTTCCACTTCCATCTGACTCAATGTTGTATTTCCCTTAAAGATACAGTTCTTCTCTTGTTGTTTCCACTTTAAGATTTGCTCCTTAAAGTTAACCTCCATATCTCCCAATCCAGCCAACCAGTCCATTCCCAACACTACATCAGTGCCTCCTAACTCCAATAGATAATAAGTCTGGTGAATATCTATTCCCTGAACCTTCAGCTTAACCTCAGTGCATCTGCCAGTATTAGGAATGCAATTACCATTCCCAATTTGAACCTTGAATCCCTGTACAGGTTGAAAGGGTATGTTATAGTCCTCCACTAATTTCTGTGATAAGAAATTATGTGAGGCTCCAGTGTCTATGAGAATATTCACCATCTTCTCTCCTCCAGACCAGTTCAATTTCCCTTTAACCTTAAAAGTTTTGATGGAAGATATACCTTACTGAGAATGGAAAGTTGCATTGCCTTATGTTCCATGTACCCCGTTTTTTCTCCTTCAGATTTACCAGATCCTTCCTCAGAATTTTCCTCTTCTTCTGATTGTTCCACAAGTACCATTTGGTAGTTCTTTAGCTTACAACGGTGGTCTCTTCCCCATTTATCTCCACACCTGAAGCACAATCCTTTTTCACTCCTCTCCATGAGCTCTTCTTGAGATAATCTGGGACCTAGATTCCTCTTATTTTGTTCAATTCCTTCTCTGTTATTGTTACTGTCTTCATTCTTTTTGGTCACCAACACTGAAGGGGCCTTGTAAGATTTCCAGCTCCTATCATCTCCCCAATTATGAGTTTTATTCTGAGATTTCTTTCTTCCTTCTTCCTTATTTCTTACTTTTGTAGAATATAATTTCAGTTCAGCTCGGATGTCCCTTCTTAACCCCTTTCTGAAAATTCCCTTAAGGACTTCTTCAGTGAGGTGTTTTTGGAAACCTATGGCGGTTTCGAACTGATCTCTGTACTCTTGCACAGTTCCCTTCTTCTTTAAACTTAGGAGAGGTCCTAACGGATCCTGAACCATATCCGGTTGAAAGCGCTGAGCCAAGGCTTTTGTGAATGTAGTCCAATTCTGTCGTTGACCTTGCCCTTCCCACCATTGAAACCAACTTAGCGATTGGTCCTCCATAGCCACCACTGCAACATCGATTTTATCTTCCTCATCAATTCGATTCAACCGAAAGTATCGGTTCATCCGCACAAGCCAACCGAACACGTCTTTGCCATTGAAAAGAGGAAGATCGATTTTCCTCCCGACCGGATGATGTTTCCTGCGATTCCGGTGTGAATCGTTATCGCTATTGGCATCAGAATGTTCGGATTGAGAATCCGACTCACTCGAACTGTCGCCTTTCTTCTTGTGTCTGTAATGCGAACTGTGGTGAGAAGATGTCGATCGATGCGATCTACTCCGCGATCTCTCCGTTTTCCAATTCTTCAACTCATCGATACCAGCTTGCATCCTCATTAATAGTTCTTCATATCTTGCATTTGATTCATCGATCTTTTTCTCGATCGCAGACACTCGTTCGTTCATTTTGCTTCTCGTGCCTACCATTCACAGGACCGAAATTCTCTGATACCAATGTTAGAGACCTCCAGAAAATCCAGAACAATTACAGAAAGATTAAGAAGAAACAGATGAATACTTTTATTGAATCAAGAAGAACAGTACAGTAACCAGGCCGAAGCCCCCAAAGATAAGAGAAACCGACTTTTTCAGATCTTCCCAGTTCCCAGAGACTAAACAGTCCAAAAGCCACCTTTCTAACTCCCTTACACGTCTATTTATACTAGGGTACTCAGACCCTTATTACAATTATACCCTTATTATTATTCTTATTACTATTAATAGTCTGATAGGTAGGTCCCTATCACTTATATGTATCATGATATTGTATGCTAGAAGATTTACTAAAAATTGAAGCTAAAATTAAGAAAAATATCACTATGCCAAAATCACCAATTTGGAGAAGTGAGATATGCGTAGTGTGGGATACTGTGAGTCCATAACTCCTCCAGCCCCCCTGCCCCGACTTTTTCACTCAAACACATTACATGCACCTTCAGTTCCCTAAAATCTTCCAAACAAACAATGGCTTAATCTCTTTTTTAGCTAGAGAATTCAATTCAAATTAGCTGACCCCAAACTCTTTTGGGACTAGGGCTTGGATGTTGTTGTCAACATTTGTATTCAAATGCCTTCAGTTATTTGTTAGTTATGCAAATTACATGGGTTGAATTAAGAAACTGCTCCCTCATGTTTTTTAAATGTCATCATCATTTTGATATGTGTTGCAACAGTCTTCTTATATTTGATCTTCTGTAGTATTTCAGTATGAATGACATTGTACATTTGTTCGTATTATTTGTGTACTATTTTTTAATTCCTGTGGTACCTTATAATTAGCTTTTTTCATCTGATAATTCAGAATCAAAAACCTTCCCTGGTCCATGTCTCGTGGTCGAAATTTCACCTATGACTGAGGTACCATCACAAATTGCTTCTTTTGTGGAAGTTGATTGAAATGTGATACTGTTGTTAATATAGGAATGCCATATTTCTTTTTGTCAATCCTAGGATGGCTTGTCAGTTGTGATATCTCCATTGCTTCAAGTTCACAATCAAACTGATTTCCCTTTGGAGCTGCGTTTTCAACGTGGTCAACAAAAAGAAACTGAGTATGCTTCTGTTCTTCTGAATGCTGGGGATACAATTGATGATTCCATGGCCACATTTGATGCCATTAATCTCTCTGGTGAACAAAGAAAGGCTTTAATGTCACTAAGTATTGGTAAGGTTGTGTTGAAATATAACACATAAACTAAGAAATAATATTGGAGAGGAAAGGATTTTCTGTATATTTCATTGAAGGGTAAGGCCCTATAAATATAGATTACAAAGATAGAATATTCCTATACAAGATGCTATACAATAATACTATATATGGTATATTCCTAATATATTCTAAAGCATATTCTAAAGTATATTTTAATATACTTTCACACTCCCCCTCAAGTTGGAGCATAGATATTTATCATGCCCAACTTGTTACATAAATAACCAACTCGAATTCCATTTAGTGCTTTAGTGAACAGATCTCCAAGTTGTTCCGCAGTCTTCACATATCCTGTAGAGATCAATCCTTTTTGTATCTTCTCTCGAATAAAATGACAATCGACCTCAATATGTTTTGTTCTCTCATGAAATACAGGATTGTTTGCTATGTGTATAGCAGCTTGGTTATCACACCACAATTTAGCAGGCATTGATGTCTTCAGTCCGAGCTCGGTCAATAAATGGCTTATCCATATGATCTCACATGCAGATTGTGCCATAGCTCGATATTCTGATTCGGCACTCGAACGAGAAACCACATTCTGCTTCTTACTCTTCCAAGATACAAGATTACCACCAACAAAGATACAATAACCAGATGTAGATCTTCGATCATCTTTAGAACCGGCCCAATCAGCATCTGCAAAACATTCTATTCTCATGTGATCATGGTTTTGATAAACAATACCTCGTCCTGGTGCACCCTTTAAGTAACATAATATGTGTTCTACTGCAGCCCAATGATCAATGGTTGGAGATGACATGTATTGACTCACTACACTCACAGAATAGGCAATATCTGGACGAGTGACTGCGAGATAATTAAGCTTTCCAACCAGTCTTCTATATCTTTCTGGGTCTTCAAACGGTGTGCCTTCTTGAGTGAGTTGCACGTTGGGAACCATCGGTGTTGTACTTGGTTTTGCCCCTAATTTACCTGTCTCAGCTAGTAAGTCAAGTACATATTTACGTTGAGATAGAAATATGCCTTTCTTACTTCGTGTTACCTCAATTCCCAGAAAGTATTTCAAAGAGCCGAGATCCTTCGTCTGGAATTGACTATGCAGAAAATTCTTAAGGGCCAAAATACCTGCATTATCACTCCCTGTAATCACAATATCATCAACATACACCACAAGCAACGTGACACCTGATTCTGTTTGTTTGTAAAAGACAGAGTGATCTGATTTGCCTTTTATCATTCCAAATTGTTCAATTGATTGACTGAATTTCCCAAACCATGCACGAGGACTCTGTTTCAGACCATAAAGAGATTTGCGAAGTCGACAAACTTTACCATACTCCCCCTGAGCAACAAATCCCGGAGGTTGCTCAATATAGACTTCTTCCTTAAGGTCACCATGCAAAAATGCATTTTTAATGTCCAACTGATGTAAGTGCCAATCATGAGTTGCAGCGAGTGAAATAAGTAACCTGACAGATGTTAATTTAGCAACAGGAGAAAAAGTGTCAGAATAATCAACACCATAGGTTTGAGCATAACCCTTCGCAACTAATCGGGCTTTCAACCGAGCAACAGATCCGTCTGGGTTAACCTTAATAGCAAAGACCCACTTACATCCAATAGATTTCTTCCCTGTAGGCAAGTCAACCAAATCCCAAGTACCATTAAGATCTAAAGCATTCATTTCCTCTACCATGGCATGACGCCATTCAGGATGAGACAAAGCTTCTTTTACAGATTTGGGAACAGAAATAGAATCAATGGAAGCAATAAAAGAACATGAAGCAGGAGATAACTGATTGTACGACACAAATGAAGAAATAGGATGAGTACAAGACCGTGTACCTTTACGTAGTGCGATTGGGAGGTCAAGATCTGATGTGGAGACAAGATCTGAGGATGCAGGTACTGGTTCAGGACATGAGATCGGAGTCGAACTAGTATCAGGATAAGTAATCACAGGTATCGCCGGTGGAGGGTGATCAGGTGCTTTGTGTCGACGGGTGTATACCAAATGTACGGGAGGCCTAGGGTCAGGAACAGTAACTTGTGGAATATTTGTCGAAAGTGTGGACTCGGGAATAGTCATCGTGTAAATGAGTATATTATCATTGCTCTCATGAATATCTGCCTTAGATGATGAAAAAGGTGTATTTTCATGAAATGATGCATCAATAGAAACAAGATACCGACCAGTACTCGGACAAAAACATCTATACCCCTTTTGGACTCGAGAATATCCCAAGAAAATACATTTTAATGATTTGGGATCTAACTTTGTAAGATGAGGATTAACATCTCTAACAAAACAAGTGCAACCAAATATTTTAGGTGGGATAGGAAAAAGCTCTTTGTTTGGAAATAGACAATGATAAGGAGCTTTACCATTCAAAACAGAAGATGGCATTCGATTTATCAAAAAACATGCAGTAGACACGGCATCTGCCCAAAACTGTTTAGGCACATTCATTTGGAATAGAAGAGCCCTTGCAGTTTCTAACAGATGTCGGTTCTTTCGTTCTGCAACTCCATTTTGAGGAGGTGTGTCAACGCATGAAGTTTGATGAATAATGCCATGTTGTAGCATAAATGACTTAAATGTAGCAGATAGATATTCTTGGGCATTGTCTCCTCTTAACACCCGAACAGGAACGTTAAACTGAGTTTTAATTTCAGCATAAAAGGAAGAAAAATGAGTGAACAACTCAGATCGACGTTTCATGAAATACAACCATGTCATACGAGAATAGTCATCAACAAAGGTAACAAAATATTTAAAACCAGCTTTAGACACAACCGGGCAAGCACCCCAAACATCAGAGTGAACAAGGTCAAATGGAGCATTTGCTCGTTTATTAACTCGAGGGCTCAAGCTAGTACGATGGTGTTTCGCAAATTGACATGACTCACATTGTAAAGAGGTCATCTTATTAAATTGGGGATTTATTTGCTTCATTAATGGGAGAGATGGATGTCCTAATCGGTAATGAGCATCTAACAAAGTCCCAACCCCAAGACAAGAGATACCTTTTGTGATTGATGTATCCAAAATATAAAGACCAGCTGACTCATGTCCTTTACCAATAGTCTGCTTCGTTAACAGATCCTGAAACACACAATATCCAGGAAAAAATGTTACAGAACAATTAAGAGTACGCGTGATTTTACTGATGGAAAGCAGATTAAATGCAAAATTAGGAAGACTCAAAACAGGCGATAATGGTAATGTAGAAGTTGGAACAACAGTACCAGATCCAAGAACGGGTGAGGTAGATCCATCAGCTAAAGTGGCACTAGAAGTAGGTAAATATGAATGGAATGACGAAAATAGACTAGGATTACCGGTCATATGATCTGTGGCACCTGAGTCAATGACCCATTTCGAGGATGACGAAACAAGACATGTGTTTGAAATACCTGAATTCGCGGCTACCGAGATAGGGACGGATGAATGCTTTAGAGATTCTTGGTAGCAAATAAATTTGGCATATTCATCCGAAGAAATAGCAACTGATCCATCAGATGAGGTGGTAGCGGAAGCAACATGAGCAATCAAATTTCCTTGATTTTTGAATGCCAACTTTCTACAATCTTTGAGCAAGTGTCCGGACTTCTTGCAGTAATTGCAAATTACTCCTCTGTCAAATTGACCTGTACGAAACATTTTTTTTTCTTTTTGTTCTTTTTTTTTTTTTTTTTTGTATTTTTTTTTTGTATTTTTTTTTTTTTTTTAAAAAAATAAAATCAAATCTGAGTTTGCGTTGACTTTTACGCAACAAAGCTATCGAGGCAGGAACAATTCAGTCGATGCCAGCGACCCAGCGACCCTTAACAGCTGTGCTGATGATGTGAATAATCCGCCCCAGATCCAGCGACAACGAAACTTCAGTCGATGCCACCCAGCGAACAATTCAGTCGATGCCAGCGACCAACACCAACGCAAAACTTCGTCCCACAAATATTCCGCCCCTTTCTGAAGAAGGAATGAGAGAGAAGTAAGGTCTACCTGGTGGTACTGGTGGTAGAGGATCTCAGGCGAGTCTCAGGAAAAATTCCGATCAAATCTCCGGCCAGCAACTACAGCTACGCGTCGGCGCGTGCGGCGGCGCGTGCGACGGCGGTGAGCACCTCCGGAGGCGAGTATGACTCACGGCCGTTGATTTGGAACTGCGGACTTTGAACACCTGGGCGTAGATGGCGGGCGCACCAGAATAGAGGTGAGATATTTGAGCTATACCAAGGTTCTCAAAGGTTCTGAATAGAGGTTCTGGTTTGTAGAGGATCTGTACTGAGTGATTTTCTAGAAGACAGAATGGTGCCTAGAGGTTCTGGAGAAAATTTCTGGGGAAAAGTTCTGGGAAGAGGTTCTGGGAATAGGTTCTGGACTGAAATCAGCTCTTGGAGAAAGGAACCCAGTCTGAAAACTACTGAGATATGAATAACTGAACTGAAATCTGAAAAGAAAAACTAAATTGAGATGGCTCTGATACCATGTTGAAATATAACACATAAACTAAGAAATAATATTGGAGAGGAAAGGATTTTCTGTATATTTCATTGAAGGGTAAGGCCCTATAAATATAGATTACAAAGATAGAATATTCCTATACAAGATGCTATACAATAATACTATATATGGTATATTCCTAATATATTCTAAAGCATATTCTAAAGTATATTTTAATATACTTTCACAGGTTGGATTATAACGTTCCAGAAAAGTTCTTTTTTATTTCAATTCTTCTTGCCCACAAATGATAACCTTAGATGGGTTCATAAAAGTTTGGATTATCTCACCAATCAAATTTGAAAAGTAACACCCATCCTGCCAAAATAATTTATAAAGAATCAATGATATGCAAAAATTTCAACAACAACATCCAAGCCTTAAACCCAAAAGATTTTGGGCTCAGCTAACGGGCTAACATGATTCAATACATGATATCGGAGGCAAAAATAAATGAAAGATAAGAAAGACAAAAAGATAAAGTATGATAAAAAGATAAGATAAAGATAAAGATAAAGATAAAGATAAAGATAAAGATAAAGATAAAGATAAAGATAAATATAAGATAAAGATAAAAATGATAAGATAAAAAGGATAAAAAGAATATATATATAAAATAAAAAGCTTTAACTATTTTACATAACTGATCACTACTGGCTTTTAAAATGATACACTTTTTTAAAAAGCTTAAGAAAGTTTTAGATGTGCATATGGAATTACTACTAATATTTTACATAGCTGATCACTACTAGCTTTTAAAATGATACACTTAAGAAATTACATTGTAGATAAAATTGCATTCCCTATTGCTGCAGGGTGCTAATTTCTAGAGCACACTGCCGAAAATTGGGATGCCTTTTTGGATTTGCCTTTCACCTGGCCAATTTTTGGCATGCAAATGTTCGAATCGATGGGACCTTTCGTATTTTTTTTAATCGCAGGTAATTTCTTACTCTCTTTTAGACCAAGCATCATAGATGAGATAACAAACATTAAGGTTTCAACAGTCCACTGGTCAAGTGATCTCAAAGGGAGGAAGCCTGTCCATCTATCAGGATTATTTGATAAATTAAGCTACCAAGTCCGGAAGGCATTTTCTGTTAAATCACTGAAATATTCCTTCAGTACTGCATATTGTGATATACAGCTGGAAGATGGGCGTGCTGCTAAGATACACTTCCTGATTCACAGCATTGGGAAGGATGTACCTCTTACACACCCAGATACCTTTGGATATGTACATGTCGATAAGAGTTCTTCAATTTCATTGCAAGAGCAGAAAGAAATCTTTCTTATTCCCACTGTTTGTGTCTCCAACTTATTACAAACCGAGATTCACGTGGCTTTGAACGAGAAAGGTACTACAAATTTCATTTAAAAGTAAGTTTTAGTTTACTGATTCTAACTGTAGGATGCCAACTTAGCGCAGATCCTCATTCAACTGCGGGCAGTGACAGTATATGGAACACTGCGACTATTACCTCAGGATCCTGTGTCAACTTATATGCTGACCCTGCGTTTAAATATTTTGCTGTCACTTTGACTGCTTTTGGTTCAAGTTGCAAACCGATTGATAGTGCTGACTGGGTGAAAAGGTTACAGAAACAAAAAAGAAGTCTCCCACATCTAGACATTGAATTAGACTTTTGCAATGGAAAGTATTTTGCATTGCTTAGACTCTCTCGGGGACACCTGGGAAAACTAGAGGTAGATATCCTGGAATTATATTTAAGTCATTAACAGTTTAACACAAGCCTCTAGCTACAAGTTCTAATCTTTTCTATGTTTGTGCTTTACAGGCTGCTATCTTTACTTCATATACTTTGGAAAATGATATGGCTTTTCCTTTGTTTTGCTTCCCAGCAAATCAGAAGCCTATGTCTAGGTAAATTATAAGTTTGTCAGATTAGTAGAAAATTTTGTTTCTTATTGACCACAGTACATCTCTATGCAGGGATGTTGTCCAAAAACATGGTTCCGTATTTCCTCCAGAGCTAGGTTCATATCTTCCTCCTAAATCTAGGAGGTCCTTGTTTTTGAAGTAAATACCTTTACCTTCAATGGCTAGTTTTTGTTTCTTGCCGACTTCCTAATGGTATGCCAAGTTTTGGTTAGCCTTTCCATTAGTTTCACCTCATTCACTTTCTCTTCTTGTAAATCCCAGATGCCACAAGGTGCGTTTCACAATGACAGATCAAAACACATCTGATGCACTACTGGACTTGGATGCTTTGTCAGGCCTTACAGAGGTGGACCTTGAACTAGACGGGAAATCTGGGCTTAAGCATATAATAAAGTTGGGAGTATCTTTAAGGCCATATACTAGTAAAGGACTCCCTTCTCAAATGGTACTGGTGAACCCACGATATGTCGTAGTGAATGAATCGAATGAGGTTATCTATGTCCGTCAATGTTATTTGGAGGTTTGTTTTTTTGCATTTTTAGTCCAGAATTTTCATGTTAAAATGCTTGATAGAACTCTATTACTAAATAATGCCAATACTACAGGAAGATGGCATGGAAACGATCATTACTCTCAACAGTAAACAAAGAGAGGCCATAACGTTGAGAAGAGGGGTACATAAAAAGAGAGAAACTACTGTTTTTGAGAATTTTCTCAAAAAACACCAAAAGCCTGAAGATGATTTGTCATTTATTCAGTTCCGACTGAATGAACCTGGATTAAGTTGGTCAGGACCAGTATGCATTGCTTCACTTGGTCGATTTTTCCTTAAGTTCAGAAGATCTTTGGAATCTCTGGCCAGTCAATCAGATCATTCAACATCTTATGACTCCAATATACATGAATTTGCTTCTGTTTATGTTGTTGAAGAAGGTTCTAGCCTTGTTTTACACTTTTACCAGCATCCAAATTTAGACCCGCCTTACAGGATTGAGAACTGCTTGCATGACACTGCTATTACATATTACCAAAAGGTTAGAAATCAAATTTCCCAATCGCGATAATGTTTTTTGTTCTATATTTGAATTTTAATTCGTGTGTTGCACCTTTTGGTGTAATTTTCATTGTTTCAGGGTTCACTGGTGCAGGAGATTCTGGGATCTGGAAGTAGCATTAGTTACGTATGGGATGACTTGACTCTTCCTCATAAGCTAATTATCCAAATTGGTGGTACTAATTTCTGCCCTGATATGCTTCTTGCTTTATACATTTCTCATGATAAAATATTGGAATTCTATTTATGGTTCATATGTCGATACATGTTAGCCGACCCCAAACTCTTTTGGGACTAAGGCTTGGCTTAGATGTTGTTGTTGTTGAGTATACTGGTAATTCCACTTATAATCTTTTGCTATCAAAGTTACAAAGTATAGTTCACTGTCTTCAGAAATCTAGCTCAGTCTTAATTGCTCTCATATGTAGGACATTTTAGACGAGATTCGATTGATTTTGGAAAAGTTGGGTATTAGAGTTTGGTCAAATTCATCACTATATTGAAGAGACTAATGGGGGTATTAAATGGATCGATCCTTTGTTAGTCTTTTCTGTACAAGGGAAGGGATCTTTAATTCACGATTTCGGACATTTAAACATTTTCATCATCATCATCATTCATCATCATCATCATCATTACCCCAGTGCCGCAAAGGCTCCCACACCTTTGGTGGGGTAAAGGGGGGGGGGGGTCGGATGTGCGCAGTCTTACCCTAAAGCACAGAGAGACTGTTTCCGGATGACCCATAGTGAAAATTGCGTCGAAAATTGCATGGACTGACTGCTGCTTCATAACAAAGAAGCGCAGATAGTTTAGTAAGCCATTTTGCTTTATTCCATCATATTCCAAGCCAAAAAATATTGAGTCTTTGGCTCCATTGCACATGATGGAAAAACATTTAAACACTTTTAGCATAATAAAATATCATGTCTCTAACGGCTGAAGAATTGCAGTTGAGTTGTTCATATTGTAACGTACACCTCCATATTTTAGGACATACCTTGGTGTCTTAGGAACTCGGAGCATTACAATTATGAGTAGGCAAAATAACTGAACACTATGGGAAAACTATCTTAAAAAAATATGGACTGGATGAAACTAAACTAGTTTATGTTTGGTTATTAGGAATTTTGGGTTATTCTAAATAAATATCAGTTAGGGTTAAGGCCGATGAGATGTTTTCTGGATTATATTTTAGATGATGATTTTTAGTCTTATATAAAAGATAATATTTTAACCCTAGACCTAAATCAACTTTGCCCATTCCCTTCCAGACTTGATGCAATCAATCATCAGGTCTCTACATGGAAAAATGAAATTCTAACACAACATTTTTTCATCCAAAAAAACACAACCTTTTTATATTGTTTGGCGTACTGAATTCGGCACTGTCCGTTGCTGGGGAAGGTGGAGCCTTGAGCTTTAGGCTTTGGCCTTTAGAGATTGGAACGCTCATAAGGGGTAAGGAAGGTGAAGCTGTGGACGTACTTCCATTGCGGGTGAACCCGCATGGAGGCAGTAGTTGTACTTTTATTAACTATTGCAACTTTCACGGGTAGAGGAGCTTGGTTGATCGTTGTTGGCATAATGTTGTAAGGCTAGTTTGCTTCTATGATAGTGTCTTCCATACATTCTCACATGTTATTTTGGGTCTTACACTTTTACTCCGGTCTTAAATTGTCCGTGCTTTTTCTTGAATTTGCTTATAGGAACAAATTCTCTGTTCCTATATTGCTATTCTGAACTTAGGCTCTGATAGTTGTAACAGTGGACCTATGTGATAGTTAGTGAATGAAATCTCTTTACCTATCCAGAAAACTGATGCTTCATTCACTGGAAGCTTTTTCCTGTGGCTATTTTGTCAAGTTCCCATAAGGACATTATATGTGTTCTTGTGAAATTATAACTTTTTTCCGTGTTTCATCTTGTTGTGATTCAAAAAGGTTCTTCTTTGTGATGTGTATGCCAGATGTGCACCTATTGCGTGAAATAAGCTTAGATAAGGTGCGTGAATGGAAAAAAGTTTACAGGACCAAGCAACAGAGAGGATTTGGGTTCCATTTACCATTTGAGAAGCAACCTGAAAATGAGAGAAGTGGCTATGGCCAATCCAGTGGCAGAGAGATGGTAAATATAGGTTATGAAGTGTATACAGATGGACTGACTCGTGTCTTGAAAATTTCTGAGTTTGCTGATAGACGCAGAGGGGATACTTTATTCAATTCTAGAACAAAGATGCAGCTAATAGTGTCAAATTTGGCAATTCAGTTACTTGAGTGTGCAAGACAGGTCAGTCTCTGATTTTGTGCCCCCCATCCCTCTCTCCCCCAGGGGCAAGAAATCAAGTCTCCAAACTATTGGAATTACTAAGAATACGAAGTATTCTTACTATTGAATTACTATCACTAATTCTACCATAACTGTCAAACTAAACAATAAGAGTTCTAAATTTCTAATTAATATTGATATCATGCAGTGCATTGATAGCCATGTATGAACATAGCCATGTCCTAGAATATTTACGTATTACACTGAAGGCTAGCGTTTGATAAATATGTTTTCTTGGCATTACCTCTCAGTGAGAAGCATAAATATAATACATATATTGATACTTTGCATTAGAAGTGGTTAGATTTAAAATGTCCAGACTCCAGAAGAACACCATCATATTATGAGAGCTGAAAAGATATTTGGAATAGGATTATAGGAAACATGAGAGTGACATGATGAGAAAGCCCCCCAAGGGTGTCTTTGGTTCAAAGGAAGGGAGGAGGTGAATGAAGTGAAATTAGCATCCCTGCCTAGATTCCTCAAATAACAAACGAAGGGAACCGGAGGGACAACATGAAAATCCCATCCTCGCCCCCTCCATTTTTTGGGAACATTTTCTCACCTTTCCTCTCTAAAATCAAAAGTCCACAAACCAAACAAACCATAAATGACAAAGGTTTTCAGTAGTAAATAAGGTTAGATTTAGTTCACTGGTCGTGATTTGTGAATGATTAATATGTATGTGAATTTGAATATACAAGTCCAGAATGTCAAGACTAAACCCCATTTTTATTTCAAAGACAATAGAGGAACATATTTTCATACCCAGTTCATCATTCATATTAGTTTTTAAAGACATGGGTTGATAAAAACTCACATTTCCTATCATTCTCTAATTGCTTTGGTAACTTGTAGTCATGATCTTCACCTAATTCTTCTGTCCGATTTAATGTACCAAAAAGGAAATGAGTGAAGTTAACAAGGATGAACCATCAATCTACACTCCTATTCTTGTTGTGAGACTTGAAAGCATCAGTTTGAATTCCGTGTTTACTGACCATCACATGTTTAACCAGATAAGGATACAGGTAGGGTATTCATCTATTTGTTTTTTTTTATATAAAAATAAACTCCACTATTATTCCTGATGCATTTTAGATTATTGTTTTTCTAGAGCACAATTCAGTTGGTCTAATTTCTTGATACTTAATCATGTTTCAGGCTTTAAGTGTGGATCAGAAGTGGCATGGAGCTCCTTTTGCAGCCATGCTTCGTAGGAACCAGTTAGAAGATTGCAACAAGACTGACAGTGTACTCCAAGTAGAACTTGTTCTAGTTTCATCCAATTCCAAAGTTAAACAAGTCAAGTACTTATCAATTTGTCTGCAGGTAATTCCCAATACATGCTTATTACTTTTTATATATTTACAAACTGTGGCTATGTTGTATAGAGCAAGGTCGTTTAAATCGTAAATTTTGATTGAATCGGTAGAACTTTTTATAAATCAAATCATTAAATCGGATTGTGAATCGTAAGATTTTATGCAACATAAATAAATAAATAAATATCTTATAATTATGAGAAGGGTAATTCACAAATTAACATTAATGTCAAAACATAAGATAAAATCATCCATGTATATTTTAAATAAAGTTAACAAAACAGATAATAACAGAGATCACATGATCAAAGCGGTAAGTTGGCACCTTAACGTCATATGCACAATTGACACCTTACCGGGTGACGTGGCAGTGACCATACCATCACCTGCAAAAAGTGAAATTTGAATCTTTTTATTGAGTTCAGGGTGCAAATTGGAGTTTTTTTATAGTTCAAGGGGCAAATTGAGCAATCTGGACGGGTTCATGGGCCTATTTGACCCTTTAGTTTTAAAAGAATTTATTAGAAGGAAGAACATACATGCGCTCATATACTATTACTAAAGCAGGGAGAACAAGGCAATCAAAAGAAGCATCTATGGGCTCATATAGTCATATATTAGAGAAGGAAGATCACTATAAATTTTTCCTGAATAAAAGTTATGCATAAAATTTATAACAAAATAAAAAGGGGGAATTTGACTGTGCACCCCACTTTTTGGGTGATATCGGACTTTGCACCCTATTTTGAAAAAAACTTTGATTTTGCACCCCAACACATAACATTTTGTGAAGAAAAATTAATGAATGGGGTGCAAAGTCAAAGGATTTTTAAGTGAATTGGGGTGCAAATTCAAAGTTTTTTTAAAATGGGGTGCAAAGTTCAATATCACCCAAAAACTGGGGTGCAAAGTCAAATTCTCCCAAATAAAAAAGATGTCTTTAGAGATCATTCAAGAAACAACTGAAATCACACTTCATACCTCTCTTCTTCAAAGCACAAACGCAAAATAGCATAGAAATAGTTCAGTACTTCAGCACTTTTAATTCACAAATGGAGCTCTCTTCTTTCCTTAGTTTGTGCGGTCAAGTTTTGAGGAAAAGAGCCAGAAGGTTTTTAGACTTTCCTTCTAAAATGATTATGGGGTTGGCCGATTAGTTAATTGGGTTTGATATTTTTGAGGAGTTAGAGTTACACTTTACGCATCTGGCCTAGTCTTGATAAGTCGGTTTTCATTATATTTTTTTAATTATTAAGTTTGCAGATTGGCGCTAGGAGCAAAATCGCATGAACCATGAGCGATTCTGCACGATTTTTTCACGAGTCAACACAATTGTATTGTTGTTCACAATCTGAATTGATCATTATGCATGAAATCGAGTTGAATTCAGATTTTGATACCCTTGATAAAGGGACCATTTTGCTTATCAGATTTTATGTGTTAATGTTTATAAGCAAGTAATCATCTCAATTACAACCAGTTATTTAGTTCACTGCCTCTGCGAGTCATATTGTAAGTCATGATGTCTTTTTGGCACAGTTTTGTACATTTACAGGATTATATGCCTCATACGCGGTCATCTTGAAGTATATTTAACTGCGAAAACTATGTCTGCTTGGCACAATTTTATAAGTTTATAGGCTTATGAAGTAAAGCTTAAATATAGTATAGAATCACCTTGGTATTTAGAGGAGACCAATGATAAAATTCCCCTGGTTCATTCTAATAGAGGTATGTTTAAACAAATGGAGAAAACAAAAGACACACAATGATCTGGATTTAAACTGGTCACCACCAGAGAAACTTAAGTGTGTTCGGTCGAACTATTGTTCTTAAAGCGCAAACTGATTCTCTTGGTACATTTTGACCTTATAAGACATGCCATGTTTCATAATGTGCACGTGGCTTTAAAAAATCAATATTGTACTCATTGATGTTCAATAATATTTGCTATGTAAGTGGGAAACAACAATGATGATGACTTTGGATTTTCATGTAATTATTCCTTAATAGCAAGGGAAAATGGTATGTGGTGTAAAATCTTGCCACTCTGCTTTTTGCATGAGTTTGTACTTTGTAGGGTTAACTAAGTTTTGACAATTTGGTTTTATAAACACATAACCTTTATGCCACCAATCCAACATAGTTGACACTAATTTAATCGTCTTTTCCAGCCACTTGATTTCAAACTTGATGAGGAGACACTAATGAAGATTGCCCCTTTCTGGAGATCTTCTCTTAGCGATTCAAATACTCCAAGTCGACAGTATTATTTTGATCATTTTGAGATTCACCCTATCAAGGTTGTATGCATTACTTGTTATCAGTGTGTTGACTGTGTTCTAAAAATCGCTAGACGCTAGCCACTAGTCAGGCGACAAGCCAGTGCTTAGCACCTAGGCACTAGTCAGGGTGTAAAAAAGACATTCTTTTTAGGGGAAATGCACAATAATAATCCTGACTTTTAGGGGTTCTATAATAATAATCCCTACTGAGAATGCCCATAAAAATAATCCGTACTAGCAATAGTGTCCACAAAAATAAATTGGAGTGAATTCAAACTAGTGCCTCATTTAATACTCTCAACCCCTAGCTCCATTTTCCCCTTTACCACTCTTGGTTTCGGTGAACACTTCTATGTTCCAACCTACAGAGAACCACATGTGGTGGAAATGGCATTGAAATTAAACGGGTTTTAGTTTGAATTTGCCCCGAGAAGAAGAGCGGGGAAGAGAAAAGTGAGAGTATGGGTTGAGAGTATTAAACGGGGATTGACCCCAATTTATTCTTATGAACACCATTGCTACTTTGGATTATTTTTGTGGATACTCTGAGTAAGGATTATTATTATAGAATCCTTGAAAGTAGGGATCATTCTTATGAATTTTGCCATCTTTTTATTAATAATCTTGTGTGGATGCGATAAAAATTTTAGTGTATACATGAATAATGTGTGTATCAACTTGTATGAATGATAGAATCATACATTACAAAAATAATTTACATTTACTACTTAGTTCAATTGAGCAGTGGGCGTTGGATAAATGTTAAACAGGTAAACATAAAATATTTGTAGCTAGTACATAGTTGTCGTAGTTTAACATCGGTTTACTTGACATGCATATTAAAGGCTGATATTTCAGATAAAGAGTGGTTCTAGGCGCCCGACTAATTGGATGACCGTTTTTTTGGACCAAATAGGCTAAATCAGGGTGCTGGCACCTAGGTGAACTTTAGAGCAGAGCTTATTTTACATGTGAACCTGTATCCAACCCTTGCATCTAAGGAAAGACAAAAATGCAGCTTTCTTACATTTGTTCTTTTGATCTTGAAGATTGTTGCTAGCTTTCTTCCAGGTGAAGCTTATACTGGTTACAGCTCTGCCCAGGAGACACTGAGGACCTTAATTCATAGCGTGATAAAGGCCTGAAAGTTATTTCATCTATCAAAATGATATTTTGTTCTGCATATATGTGTTATTTACTCACTCTTTCTCACCCTTTATACAGATGCCTGTTATTAAAAATATGACTGTGGAGCTCAATGGAGTACTTGTTACACATGTACTGTTAACTTTGCGTGAATTATCAATTAAATGCGCACAACACTATTCTTGGTAAGTATATATTGCTCTTTGCTTTGTGCTTTTCTCGTCCTGTACTCCTGTTACTTTTTTATATTGATACAATTTGACTGTCTAATTCAAGTATTTTTGGGTTGAAAATATAGAATTATAGACACCCTGACATATCGATGAAATGGTGACTGTGCCCAAAAATATATGGGTTGGGTAACAACCTTTAGATATAGGAGTAAATCCATAATCAACGACCTCATGATTGGGACTTAAGTTTCTAAAAATGTTATTATGGGGGTATCTCATATGTCCATTCAGTTCTGGACAATCCAGCAAAGTAAATATAGACAAGGTAGGTGTAGCTTGGATCAACTTCTAAATACTTGCTTCGTCAACAAAGGAATCTGGCTTTCCATAACTACTGCTAATATAAAATAACCTTAGAATTTCAGATATATGGAATTAGTTACATACAGAACTCATAACAATCAACCTAAGGAACAGACTTGGATGACAATGCACGAATGCGAGTGAGGAGTTCCAAGTTAGGAAAGTATTAACTACAAAATCTTCCAACGTGAATCTGGGCTGAGAGAATGAAACAGATTAGATCAAAAAACAAGAATGTGCTCTTTCTCTTAACAGGTCGACAGATAGGGTTTTCTCACTATTTTTCTACTAGAGGTTTTTTAATGCTAACAATTCTAGGTTTGGTGTCATGTTAGGATGAAATTGAAAGAAACACTCGAATGACCATATATGTGTGTGTGTGTGTGAGTTTGGATAAAAAAAGGTCTTGACGTGTAAAATATGAATTAATCTTAGCCGTTCAAAGAGTCAATCGGATACACAATAAACCTTATCTGATGCACTTTTCAAATATTTACGAAATTGTCATCGCGTCTAGATGCTGGAGAAGTGCATCATATAAGGTTTAGTCGAAAAATGCATTAGATAAGGGTTATTTCTTATATATACGTAGTATTATATAGGGGTTTTAACGTGTAAAATGCGAATATTCACTTTTGGAGCGCTAGGTACACTTTTTTGTTCAGGTAGTGCACCTTTCCACGTTTGTAAAAAAGTTTGACCATTTACAAAATTGCCACCGCGAGTTTTTAAAAAATGCATCTTTTACAATTGTGAAAAGGTGCACTACCTGATCAGAAAAGTGCACAGTAGCGCTGCAAAAGTGAATATTTCGCATTTTATGCTTATGAATATTTTTTATTTGATCTGTACCCTATATATACTTCCTCCGTTCTTTTTTAGTTGCAACATTTTCATTTTCACGATTGTCAACACACATCTTTGAGCGTTATTATATTTAATTCTCTAATAGTAAAAAAATTTAAAAATCAGATTATGGAAATTTGTAATGAGACGAATTCAACAATATTTTTCAAAAAAAATAATTCTCATACATTAATGAATAAAATGTGGTCAAAGTAGATCATGTGAATCATGTAGAATTATCCACGTTTCAACTAAAAAGAAATGAAGGATAGTATATATATATATATATATATATATATATATATATATATATATATATATTAATGACGACATTTTGAAGAGTTTGATACATGAATTGGTCTTCCAGTAGCATTAATTTCCTTTCCGTATCTTATGTTGTTATTATAGGTATGCAATGAGAGCAATTTATATTGCAAAAGGGAGCCCATTGCTTCCACCAGCATTTGCTTCTATCTTCGATGACTTCGCTTCTTCCTCTCTAGATGTCTTTTTTGATCCTTCAACCGGTCATATCAATTTTCCTGGATTTACTATTGGTAAAACAAACCTGCTTTCCCTATCAAATTGACATTATTGTCTGATGATAGTAGCATTTTAACATTGACGAAATTTATTGTCTGATGATAATAGCATTTTAACATTGACGAAATTGTATACAATAATTATTAATTGCTACCGTTTTTTCTAATTACCTTTCAATATTCCTATTGTGTATTGACTGTGGAGACATGCATGAAACTTAAGGCAAAAAGAGTAATAAGATTCTTTGCATGACCAGAGAATGACTAAAAAAATTTGCTTCCCTGTTCGCATTTTGGAAAGAGTGAGAGTATTATCAGATTCTTTCTATTCTTCTTTTTAATTAAAAAATCGTGTTCCTTAAAGGTACATTCAAACTCATCAGAAAGTGCATCGATGGTAGAGGGTTTTCTGGAACAAAACGCTATTTAGGCGATCTCGGAAAAACTGTAAGTCAGACACTGAGACACCCAATGTTTACTGATATTTGTGTTTTAGTTTCTCATTATATATGAAGCTATGCTTTTTTTGCAGTTGAAATCAGCTGGGTCAAATATCGTGTTTGCTGCTGTCACTGAAGTATCGGACTCAGTTCTAAAAGGAGCAGAAGCAAGTGGATTTAATGGAATGGTAAATCTCTTCAGTTTTTATTGTATGCAAAGCATTAAGGATCTCTTGGAAAATGCTAGGGAAAGAAAATAGGGAGGAAAAAGAAGAAACCGGAAGAAAAGAAATGGGGTTGGAAAACCAAAAAATGTTTCAAACTCAATGAATCATTTTGTGGATATTGTTCAAACTCATTTTACTAAAATATTTCTATCATATAATGACCAAGAAATCTAATTACATGTAAGATTTTAAGAAGCCATACTCAATTTGTTTTCCTTTATAGTTTCCTAGCCTCCTAGGTAACGTCAAACATTTTCCTTAGTAGGTTTTATTTCTTTTCCTACCTTGTCCAAAAAGTCTAAATTTATTTTGGGAAAACTGTCAAACAGGTCCTCGAACTTTCATAAAAAGGTCAATTAAGTCCTTCTATAGGAGGTTCTGTCCAGCCTTCGCGATTTGGGGCAGTTCTTGGTGGAATTTTTTGATGAAATTTTTTGAGCATCTTATTCACCAAGTCTAGTTTACTCATACCAAATTTCAGCTAAAAATTCAATCGGGAACACATTCAAATTAATTCTTGAAGATAACTGGGCATTTTTGCGTTCTCGAATTAATTTGAATGCTCTCCCGATTAATTTTTTACCTGAAATTTAGTATGAGTAAACTAGACTTGATGAATAAGATGCTCAAAAAATTTCATCAAAAAATTCCACCGGGAACCGCCCCAAATCGCGACGACCGGACAGAGTCTCCTATAGAAGGACTTAATTGATTTTTTTATGAAAGTTCGAGGACCTATTTAACAGTTTTCCCAATTTATTTTTCATAGAAGTTAAATAAATGGGTGGAATAGGAATATACCATACTATCTCTTGGCTATTAAAAGAAAAAAAATTATAAGAAAAGCATAAGTGAAGAAAGTGAGATTGATTAGGAGGTGGGTGGGAATGTGTGGTAGAGCCCAGATGAGAAAATTAAATCCAGTCACGATTTGTTGCAGGTGATTGGGTTTCACCAAGGAATACTGAAACTGGCAATGGAGCCTTCAGTATTGAGCACTGCTTTTATTGAAGGGGGTCCTGATAGAAAAATTGGACTTGACCGAAGTCCTGGTGTTGATGAGGTGAGTCACTCAGCATCAGTTATGTACTTGATTTTCAGTTTCCATTAAATACTTTTTATTATACGACAAGCAGGTAATGTTTCATTACCCAACAACAACAACATTACCCCAGTGCCGCAAAGGCTACCACCAACGTTGGGGTAATGGGGGGGGGGGTTGAATGTTCGCAGCCTTACCCATGTACTAAAGCACGGAGAGACTGTTTCCGGATGACCCATGTTGAATAGTGTTTCATTACCCCACATGTTAAAATAAGTGTCAGCTTAACTCAATTCCAAAACTTATCAAGGAGTTCATTCTTTCATATTAGCTGATGTGGGGCACTTTTAAACATCAAGTGTCTATTTTCTCGTGTCCTCTTTTTCAGCCAGTTTATCCCTAGTTTGTCCATGATTCCTCTGACCCTGTATAAATTTGTATTGATGTATGTGCCCAATGCAGCTATACATTGAAGGTTATCTGCAAGCCATGTTAGACACAATATACAAACAAGAATATCTAAGTGTGAGAGTCTTGGAAACACAGGTACTTATATTCAGATATCCTGATTATAATTATATACTCCCTCCATCTTATTTTACATCCCATTTTACATGTCTTACTTTCCTTTTTGGGTTGTCCCAAAATAAGTGTCACATTTTCTTTTTGGAAAGAATGGTGTGGTCTACACCATTTTACTTTATTATATTCAAATCTCAACCACAACTTTTATTTTTTCAACCACTTTATTAATAATTGTGTCAAACCAAAGTAGGACACATAAAATGGGATGGAGGTAGTAATAAATAAAATTTATATATGATTTCAAGAACATTGTACTATGTAAACAGGTCATCCTCAAGAACCTACCTCCTAACAGTTCTCTAATAGATGAAATTGTGGAGCGTGTAAAGGGGTTTCTTGTGAGCAAGGGATTGTTGAAGGGAGGTTCTTCAAAAGCTTCTCATCCTTTACGTCATATTAGAGGGGAACGTGTAAGTACACGTCTGTGTCTGTATGTTCCAAAGTTGGGCTCATCCTCGGTCCCTTCCGAGGATGAGAGCTAGCCCCGACCTTTTCTGAAGAAGCGGTCAGTCAATCAGACAAGTCGAATGGGACCCATGACATAGTATTTTTCAGCAGAATATTCCACTTTTGTCCTATGACAACAATGCCATTTTTCACTGTTTCCACGACTTTCATATTTTTCACTTTTACTGCACGGGTATAATTTTTCGTCACTTTTGGCCCTCTAAATCTATTACATGCTCTGAAAAGTCAACTGCCAATTGTACAAATATTGGCTGGATGAGTGAACTCACAAGAAATTCATAATCGTGCACCAAAAGTTGGAAGAATGAAAATCAGAGCACAAGTGAAAATGACCAAAATGGAATATTTTTATTTCTAGCATGACCACTTTGTTTTACAACAGTGTTGCAATTAGCTTGGTGCTATTTTGATAACAGGAATGGAGAATCGGTCCGACAGTGCTGACACTGTGTGAACATCTATTCGTGAGTTTTGCAATCCGGATGCTGCGGAGACAGGCTAATAAGGTGATTAAGGCTAATGTCAAGTGGAAGGGGAAACCAGATGACAAGAAGGAAGCAACTATTGTTAGTGGCCATGGTAGCGGAGAAGGGAAGAAGGGGGGAAGTTTCATATGGAGATGGGGCATAGGAAATTTTGTGCTATCAGGGATAGTTGCATATATTGATGGACGCTTATGTCGGCGCATACCTAACCCCATTGCAAGAAGGATTGTGAGCGGATTTCTTCTCAGCTTTCTTGATAAAAGTGAAAACCACTGAAAGTCCTCTTAAATATATGAGTTACCCATTCTGTGCTTTCTTCTTCTTTGTAATTATTAAGGCATCAAAGATTGTGTTTTGTGAACAATGACTTGTAGCAAAACGAACTGATGCTTTTGTAATACGTAAATATTGCATTTTTGATAGAAAAGAAAATAACTTTTTGTGTTGTCTGATACATAAAGTAACCTTTCCAAAACAGCAGTTTCAGTTATGTCATTTATGGTTCACGCCTTCAATTTCGAGCAAGAGTGAACCACTGTAGCTAAATTCTAGATCGAACTCATAGAGTCATAGGTAGTGGCTTGGTTATGGGTAGCGAAAGCTAGTCTTCATTTGGACCCGAACTTTGTTTTTTCAATTAAGGAAACCTCAGAACCAGAAGTTCAAGAAGTGCTTCCTATAAAAAAAATGGGTAAGTGGGACGTGGGTTTTATGTGGTAATGACGGACACTGGCAAATTATACCGTATGACCGGCATACCATGCGCATGGTATGCCGGTCCAAATACGGCACTGTTTCTGTGGAGCACTAGTTTGTTTCTTTTCTTTTCCTTCAAGGCTCAACGCCTCAACTGTTCAAACCCTCCAGATTTCTTTGGAGCACTATCTCTTTATTTTCCTTTTTTGTTTTCTTCAATCATTTTCTTCTCTCCATCTAAATATTAAAAACTAATTTTGATTTTTCTTATATTCATTTTATTTTTCTTATTTTCTTATCTTTAACTAAAGATAAAAAGAATATTTTATTAATCCACATAATAATTGAATCTATTTTTTATTCTCTATTAATACATAACAAAAAAAATTATAAATCTAAATAAAATAAGTATATTGCATTTATATTCATACATTACTTTTGTTTCTAGGATATTTACAATACTCATACACTTTTTTGTAATATATTTTTTATTTTCATACACTTTTTGTAATATATTTTTATATGCATACACTTTTTGTACAATTTTGTTTATCTCTTTTATATGTTTTTAAGGGTTTTTAAGACATTGAATTTGTTTATTTTGATTCTTGGAGTTACATTTGAAGTTACATCTTTTTATGTACGAGTTGCATCTTATTATGTGTGAGTTACATCTTGAGTTACATCTACTTATGCGCGAGTTACATGTAGTTATTTGGTATTTTTGTTACATTTAATTATCTTTAAGTAATTAAATTACCATTGAATTAACTTCTTTCTTTACTACAAAATTTTTACTAACCCCCATAAAATAAGTATATTGTATTTCATAATCATACAATACATCCAGAGGGATAAAACTCCTATTTTTTATTATTTACATTGAAATCAATGTTTTAATTCTTATATTCTATTTTAGATAACTTCAATTTTAATTTGAGATGAATATTTCACAGGTATTTTTGGAGGCTCTGGCCCATATGTCTTCAAATGTGTCATTGAAATGATTGAATTAGTGTCTATGAGTTCAGAACTCAGATCATAGTATGTACTTCCCTCGACAAAGGATAGAACGGATGGAGAGCTTTGCTAAGTTCGTCCATAAGGCTGTCGACAATATTCTTTTGATAATGAAAAGAGAAGATAAAAAACAAGCAAGCAAAATCCTTTTGTGAAATGAGACCTTGGGGAGAACGAAATTTAGTCCATAGATACTCTACAATTACGATTGATCACTTGTGAACCCAAAAAGAAAAATGTCAAATTCAGGAAAAGCCGATTGGCGGCATCAGCCTCTTCAGTGACCGCTTATGATGAAGCGAAACTAAAAAAAATCCTATTTATTTTTCTGGGTAACCCTTTCCGGGCCTACAAAAGATAGTGGTGGAGCGCCCACTTTCGGGCTTTAGTTGTCCCACTTTCCTTTTTGGGACGTAACAAATTAATTGTCTCTGATGGATAATTAATATCCATATATTGTATAATAAGAAGAGATTGAACAAGAGTAGTGGAGAAGGAGATATGTGTATTTGTGAATGAACTGTGAGTTATGTTTACAAGCTCCAAAAATGAGTATATATAGAGAAATCCGGGTCTGGGCCTCTAATATGGGCCTGACAGACCCGGTTACATAAAATGACTGATAACATAAAAGGCTAATCTAGTACATATAATGAATGTGTAAACTGTACAATAATATAAATGTTGTCTGCTGGTGTACGTAAACCGCTGTCCAGGCCCAATAGTCGGCAGACCGGGGCATTGGAGTCCATATACTCCATCAGGAGTCCCCCACTCCCTAAGCCGAGAGTACTCGAGGTGAAAGGGAGTAGTCCACAATTGTATCTGCGACGTTCTTCTGTCTTTGGTTTCTTCCTCTTCGGCCGGGGGACCACCACCCTTGTCCATGATGGGGAGGTGCCTCGTTAAAAACCTTTACTAGGAAAAAACTCAGTGGGAAAAAATCCTAATAAAGGGAAAAAGAGTACACCTAGCGCCCCCAACATGAAACAAGGAAGGCAAGTCCCCTTCGGCATAATCAATCTAGCTCAACTCCTCTTCAACCAACTCAGATCTCGTTCCTGCTCATGCGTGATATTTTCTGCTCATCTAGAAACTCTGACCCCTCAGTCCCCCAGTCCTCCACTCCTTTAGGCGAGTGGAGACGAGGTGGAAATGAGTAAAGTCATCTTTGTACCTACACATTTAACACACATATAAAATTTTTTCTGGGATTTATGTTTCCGATCGGGAGTTCGTTTCTTGAAACAAGTGGAGATGTGAATTGCCAATGTAATGATAAAATACTTAGTAGAATGGATGTGTGAGCCATTTGTAAGCAACGGTCACCACTCGAGGAATGACTAAGACCGGTCTTCGTGCCCGACTTGGTCGGGGCTTTGTGCCTTATCTTGGTCAGAGCTTTGTGCCTGATCTGGGTCAGGGCTTTAAATCCTAGTGATGGGTCTCAAACCACACTCTACTAGGCATTTGATCATAAGTGCGTGATAGTGTGACATTCACCCAACAAAAAAATAAAGTACTTATATAAGGTATTAAATATAAATAATATGAAAATTAATGAGTACTTATCTCTTGACGGGCTGAAATATTAGACTGTGTGGGCTGATAAAGAAATTGGGCTGGAATTTGATATGTTGTTGAGATTGGCCCATTATTGAACTTGATTGTAGCAAAAGATGGTTCGGCCCATTATTCTTTTCTTCCACCATGTTGGAATTTTGACCTGGTCAGCACAACCTTCTCAGTCTTTGCATCGACATGATACTGTGAGCAGCCGCACTGTACTGTGACAAGGGAGAACAGTTGGTCGACGAGCGGCGATGCTGCGGACCTCGAGTACCGACGAGCTACCGGCGGCGCTGGGAGATTGGTGTTGTGCGAGGCAGAGACTTCCGGCCCTGACATCGGCGTCGGGTTTGGGGTAGCCTGTCCTTCCCAGAGCTTTGAGCGGCCACTAATGGCGGAAGCTCACAGCACAGCTCAGAAATCCATCGGCCACGACCGCCGTTATTTAGCTTTTCTGGTATATAGTTTGAGGTCTAGCTGTGACGGAGGCAGAGCAGTGAGCTGCTACCATGACCAGAGAGCTGCGGCAGCGTGGATCCTCAAAAGCCCGAGCGAGATTTGGAGCACACCAGGGGCTGGCTGGGAACAACGACGCATAGTGGAAGCTTTGCACGACGATAGCGGTCCCATATTCCCACTTTTCTTCTGTTTGACAGACTGTTTTGCTCGATAGTTTTCCATGTCACTGAGGACCACTGGGCTGGTACAGACCTGAACGGCATAGCTTGCCTGGAGTGACGGCGCTGCTGAACTCGGAACGGCGGCGAAAACTGGAGTAGGTGCAGTAGCAGATGGCACACAGTCGGTGGTGTTGACGGTGGACGGCGACCCAGATCTTAGATTCCCATATTTTCTTCTTATCGTTCATTTCCAGATCTAGAACTTGCAGACCCCGTCAGAAAATCTTGTCATTCATTTCCAGATCTAGAAGTTGCAGACCCCGTCTGAAACCGCAACAGGTGGCTCGTGGCGGCGGTGCTAGCCCAGAAGCGAGGCGACCCACCCTGAGACACGGCGGCATGATGACGGTTCCTCCGGCCAGGTCTGGGAAATCCCCGATCTCCCATGCCAGAACCCATAATTTTTTGTTGAATTTTCATATTGTTTTTTTTATTGATTTTCTGTGATTTGGGTGAATTTTTGGATAATTTGGGAGGTTTCTTACTTGATTGTGTTCAAACCTCTCAATGAAAGCACCATTTGATGGATAATTAATATCCATATATTGTATAATAAGAAGAGATTGAACAAGAGTAGTGAGTGGAGAAGGAGATATGTGTATTGTGAATGAACTGTGAGTTATGTTTACAAGCTCCAAAAAGGAGTATATATAGAGAAATCCGGGTCTGGGTCTCTAATATGGGCCTGACAGACCCGGTTACATAAAAGGACTGATAACATAGGGGGTGTTTGGATCTGATTCTCAAAACTGGTTCTGCTCCTTCAGGGAGTAGAAGCAGAAGCTGGAGTGTTTGGGTGAAATTCCAGAAGCACTTCTGGTGCTCTAATTTACTACCAGAATCAGTTTTTTCCGAAGCTGGGGGGTACCAACTTCTGAAAACTTATTCTGATTCTGCTTCTGCTTTAAAAAAGAAGCAAAAGCAGAATCAGTTCCAAACACCCCCATAAAAGGCTAATCTAGTACATACAATGAATGTGTAAACTGTACAATAATATAGATGTTGTCTGCTGGTGTACGTGAACCGCTGTCCAGGCCCAATAGTCGGCAGACCGGGGGGTTGGAGTCCATATACTCCATCAGTCTCAATTCCCTTTTTTGAAAGAAACTCACCCGAAAGCAGCTAATGTATCACTACAGTACTACTATAGTACTGCTACAATATTAAAAATCTCTTACTTTTTATAAAATATACAACAATAATTTTAAACTACGTGACAAGGCCAATGAGAATTATTTTAAACTACGTGACAAGGCCAATGAGACAACTAAAGTGATTAGGGCTGTGCATTAACCGGGTCGGACCGTATTTTAGACCTGAACCGGACCGAAATGACCCGGTCCGGACCGGACCGGTATTTACCGGTCCGGGTTTCGGTCCTTAGTTTTTCAAGATTCCGGGTTTCCGGTCCGGTCCGGGTCAAACCCGGAAAAAACAGGTCCGGACCGGAATAGACCGGTAACCTATTGTTCCATAAAATATATACTTCGTTTTGAATCATTAGTCAATTTATATTTGGCTTACTACTATGTTTATGGCTTATTTTTGCCTTTTGCT